AAGCCCCAGGACAGATGGCCCCGAACCCTCGCCCAAAGCCCCCTTGAACCCTGAAGAAGGAGGGTTCAAGAAGAAGGCGGATTCAAGAAGCGACAGCTCAGGACCTGACGGCACATCCCAGTCCTTCAAGGCAAGAACAGGCGACTCGGATAGGGCTTAGGTCCTACTCCGCAGGGACCAGGAGGCTTCTTCCTTGGTGCTAGGGTGTTCTAGTCCCCAAATGCCTCAGACCCCATAGGCCTTCCGCCTCAAGCCCGCAAAGGTTCTGAGCCTTGGAGGCGAATGCTTCAAAACTAACCAATCCTGTGCTCCCTGCATGAACCCCAAAACACAAAAGCCCCCCCCCCCCTTGATTTTCAGATTTTCAGACCCTGTTTGGGGCGCTGCCTCCTGCTCCAGGTGCTGCGCTGCTTCGGGCGGGTCGGGTGCCCGCCCGTCAGTCTCGTTGGACCGAGGCTCATCCGTGGCGCCTGCCTTCAGGTGCAGTTGATGAAAGCCCCGTTTCCCAAGATTGAATTTTGCGAAAATAGCAAAGTCATCGCCCCAGCAGGGGCTGTCGCACATGAATCTCCAACAGGGACCTTTAGGTCATAAAACCTGAGATTGGAAGCCAGGCGTGTTTTGGGTCATGAGGGAGCCTTTTGGCAGACTCCCAGTAATTCCAGCTTTCTTAGTTCAAGGAGCGCTCTGCAGACTGTAAGGCCTGTAGGGATCCTAAGGTGAGGGTGTTGGATGTTCTGAAGGCTTTCGGGGTACACGCTTTTGATGTACTCTTCGTTCTAAGCCATCCCCAACACTTCACATCAGGCTATGGTGAGGCTTGCAGCTTGTTCGCCTGTGCATGGTTCGAATACAAACAAAAGTGTCAGAGGCTTCGGAAAGAACGGGGAGAGTTCGGAGCCCAAAGCCCCAAACTTCCGACATGGCCGAGCTCCCAGCAAAGACCTCCTCCAGAGCTTCGTCGCTCATCTCCTTCAACAAGCGGAAACTACACGTGGTCTTGACAAGGTCATGATATCACAGAGAGTGCCCGTGTGTGGCTTATGCAGGCTCATCACAAGCCAGGTCTATTTGGAGCGTTGCAGCTCGCACATGTCACTTTCCACAATGCGCAAGAAAACTCAAAACCCGACGCGAGCCTCAGCAATCATGGCGAAGACTTCGTCATGGCCGGCCTGCGCTATTCAAGAGACAGAAACACTCAACCCTGAATCCATTTTGACGCGATGGCCAGCTGGAGATTGGGGTTTGGGGGCTTCGTTTCCATGCTGAAGCTGGATGCGTTTGCGTGATCCCTCAGCAACGGCTGAGGTGAGTGGAAAGCACTATCATTCCACGACGTCGGGGCCGGCTCAGGACATGGTTCTCAAACAGCCCCTTCCCACCTCCCCCCACCCCCCCCCCCCCCCCCCCCGAACACACGTAAGCAAGCAAAAACCGCGGCCGCCGCACACCTCGTTTGCCAAAGCTGCTGCCATGCGACCCGCGCAGTCGATGGCCTCAGAAACTTGTTTGCTTGAACGCCTCCCTTGGTTACAAATCCTCACCCTGCATCCTCCCAGGATGGGCTATCGATAATCCCCATAATCAACCCCAAAAAAGGGCTTTTGTTGGGGTTAGGGAAAAAATGGCCCATCCTGGTCTGTACCAGTTTGAGCCCTAACCATCCAGGATCCCGGTCCTCCACTCGAGCTTCAGCCTGCGCAGGAATTTGGCAGAAACTTGGGCTTCCAGTGTGGCTCTGCGCGTCTTTTGCGCGGAGGAGAATCATGTTTGACTGTTTGCCCCATACGGGGGTTTTCGAAAATAGGGGGTAACCTGGTTGGGGCTCTTTGAAAAGGACTCTAGTATTTTGGGGTATATTTTGTGATACCCCTATTTCGGAAACCCCCATCTCTTGGAACAGCCAGCGGCACCTTGAGCAGGAGCTGCACAGCATCCTTGCGGCCAGCCTGCGGCATCCAAACCCTTGGCTTCGGCTTCGGGTCTCGGTCTTTGTAGTAGGCCCTTAATCACCCCAGAAGATTAAGGCTGCCAAGGGCAAACAGAGAGTCCAAGCACAGCTGCTGGCTCTATGAAGGAAGGAGAGCAGCTAAGCGGGCCCTGACGAAACACACCCCCTTTCCTATTTCGTCTTTGCTCAATGCCGACTGGTACTTCGCATGTCTACACTCTTCTTTAGAAGCACACGAACTACTTTCCTTAGTGCATCGAGCGTGATCAAGGCCAGCTTCGGGTTGGGGCTCTAGGTGTGTTTATTTACTATTTATGCACTCCTTCATTTTTTTTGGGAGGGGGGGGGGAGGGGGAGAAGGGAGGATTCCATGATAAGCCGTTGCAGTGTGGCTTTGAAGTGTTTTTAATGGCTCCGAAACTTTTGGAGGCTTGCAACGAGAGACAGGTGTAAGTCTCATCATGCTGTTACGGGCAAAAGACACTGTGATGTGCAGGCACATGGTGGGGATTCGCCACCATTGGTCCTAACAACGAGTCACGTGCCAAAACTCAACAATAGTTTGCCACTCTCAAACATGTCAGAATAGTCAATGTTGAAAGCCCTTGCACGGAATATGAGGCCTTAGGCAAGCTGATCCAAATATATTTGTATGTATATATATATATACACATACATGCAATCATTCATCTGTAGAAAGAGACAGAGAGAAGCGAGCGAACATTTCGATGAGATTTGTAGCGTGGCAAAATCAGTTCAAGCATGAACAGTCGTTGCGATCCCGCTCGCCGCAAAGCAAGAATGGAATTAAGCTTGATCCGCATCTACTTGTGAATACTTGTCTCAAATATGCATATACTTCTTGAAACTTTTGCACAGGTACTCCTAGCATTTCAGCACTGGTCCTCCCAGCCTCAGCTGCGTGGTGCAGCGCCGTCCTGCCTTGACGATCCTGGAGAAGCGCGGCGTGCTTTTGTTTTGGGAGTCATTAAGTTTTTAATAGGGTTTAGGGATGCTTAGAGTTTAGGGTTGAGGGTTTAGGGGCTTGGTTTTGGCTTTGGGCCTGCCCTTCGACATGCTGCACCAAGATCATCATTTCAGACATGTCGAGGTCAACAGGGGGAGGAGTCACGAGGGGCTGGAGGCTGTAGGCAGGACGTCGTGCATGGGGACTTCTTCAGAAACCCGCTACCCGGAACTCCTTGCTCCCCTCCGGCATCCCCCGGCCAGTCCAAGTCGAGCAGAACGGCCCCACGCGTGCCCTTCAGCAGCAACCTGATGCTTTTTTGAGTTCCAAGCCAGGTGTCCGAGTCCGGCCACAGCACTGGGTTGCTGAAGTCTCGGAGCATGTTCGTGTGGCTACATACTACAAGCCTTGCGTGGCTGCTTTGTGACAATGGCGCCTACTACAGATTTGGCTAGGTGTCCCCTCCTGAAGCCTAGGCCCGACACCTAAGCGCCTCAACCGTGAATCTCAAGACCAAGCCGACTTCCCCGAACTTCCCTGAACTCGCTGCAGTTTCAACGACGTGAGGGTTGAGGGTTCGAATCTTATAGCGTTGTGCGGTAGGGCCCCCAAGCGCGTTTACCCGAGCCAAGCTCCACCATAGTAGCTTCGCAGGCAACAGCAAGAATCGGCAACCCAACCCTGAACCAACCGGGATCTTGAACTGGACCTGACAACAACAGCCAGACAGCAAAGTTCACGAGCCTTCATGCCAGACCACGTCTTCTAGCAGATGAAGTCCCCCAAACTTTCAAAAAAACACTCTGACACCCCACAGCCAAAACTCCTGAGGTGGGCGCATCATGAAGGCACAGTTGCCCGCCCGCGCGCACTCCAGAAACGGTGTGACGCCTTCCTTGGCGCAGGGTTCTATGGCTGGGGACTTCAGCCCCATGTCGTCCTAGCTAGGGGAGCGCAGGCAGTTCTTTTAAGGGATTATAGGACCCCCTTCTTCTAAACCAAGCAGCAGTAGGTTCTTGCAACCTTTGCGGGTTTGAGGGGGGTTTGGGGTTTAACTCGGGATACTTATTGGATTCATAAGATTTGAGGCTTTAGTATAATCAACAAGTTTCGGTGTTTGCATGGGGCTTTCGGGAATGACCCTAAACCCTAAACGCTCTTTTGACATTGGAGAGCTCTGGCTCGGCATTTGCGTCGTCTGTGTCTTTTTTGACAGCAAACTCTGACGCACGTGGCGAAAGAAACCCTAATCCCTAAACGCCCCTCGACCCTGAAAGCACTACAGTACAGTACAGCAGCCCAGTGCCTCGGCGTTCACGAACATTACGCCGAGGGGGCCGCTCACATTGAAGCTGAAAGCTGAAAACGTGGGAGGTTCCAACAATAATTTGGGGTTCAGGGCTTTGGACAATTCTTTTTCGCCGTCAGGTAAAAGCGGCACCTAGGTCTTGGAAACTCCCACGCCCGGATGATCGTCAATGATCACCCTTTCTCATGGCCATGCTCGCGACGCCAGACGGACATGAAAGCTGAAACCGTGGGAGGTTCCAAAAATAATTTGGGGTTTACAACTCTTTTTCACACAGCGGGGCAAAAGCAGGGAACCTAAGTTCTTGAAAACTCCCACGCCCTGAGGATCACCAATGATCGCACGCCTTGGCCCATGGCCAGGCTCGCGGCGCGGGCTCAGACGGACCGGAAAGCTGAAACTGTGGGAGGTTCCAAAGAGAATCTGGGGTTTTTAGGGTTCTTTCTAGGACAGTTCTTTCTCACACAGTGTGGGGCAAGAAGCGGGGAACCCGGGTTTTGGAAACTCCCACTCCCTGGGACACCAATGATCACATGCCTTGGCCCATGGCCATGCTCGCGATGCGAGCTCAGACGGAATTGAATCGCAGCAGGTCAGCAGGTCTGATTTCGAATGCATCTGAGACTCCAAACTTCGCCAGCTTCTGAGGATGTTGCCTTAAGGCAGTCGAGAGAAGTGGGCCCTCAAAGGCTCCCATGCCCAGCTGTGGAATTCTCCACCGAGTCCTCAGATCGACGGTCTGTGCGGCGGTCTGTGTTGGACGTGGCACCGTCTTCTGAGGTGCCGCTCGCGACGCTTCGGGAAGCGCCGGGCGATGGAGTCTGAGTCGAGCCATGGAGGCTGCTGGGGCTGTGGGGATTCTGACCTTGACGCGCCAGGCGCGTGAAGTGGTGAGCACGCGGGCCAGCCCGAGTGCTCGTAGGCTCCGTGCCCTCTGGCGAAGGAGCTCTAGGTCTTCACCGTCCTGTGACACCAAATAGAAGCGGTTGGCTTGCCGACGGGAGTGCGCAAGATCCTCGCGGTAAACTCCGCCCATGGCTGTCACGTCTGGAGGGCTTCGAAAATAAAGAGAGAGCGAGTCCTTGAGCCATCATGCGGCCAGCAGTTACCACGATGTTCGAATACTGAACCCTATAGAGGAGATCGCAATGAGACCGATGTTTAGTCGAATCTGGCCGTTTTAATGCGGGGTCTTCTCGCGTGATGAGATCCTATAATCACGAGCTACGGCCTCAACTTTGGGAAGTGGGAGACTCACCGGCTCACCCTCAAACCTTTCAGCTTCTCCAAGGCCACCAAAGCAACCAAACCTGCCCCCAGACATGGAGTCTGTGGGCTTAGGGCTTCAAGCGTTTTAGGCTTAAGGATTGTCCCGCACCAAATCCAACAAAACAACAAAGCCCGAAAGCCCGAAAACTGAGACTGCGACTGAGTTTGGCTGGTATGGGTCCGCCTGGCACGTCCCAGGGAGCTTGAAGCTCAGATTTGCAAAAAGCCGTTACGCATCGTAAGCTGCGTTGCCGAGCAACGCATGGACCACCAGAATACACACATCAGGTATCTTGGAGTACTTAGTATAAGCTCCTTCGCGGCACCCCAGTAAAACCCAGTAAACGCCCAACCTCCTCCAACACTCTCCCTCCCCCTAAGCCCTTATAAACCCTAAACCCTAAACCCTAAACCCTAACCCCTAACCGCCCCCCCCCCCCAAAAAAAAAAAGATAATAATAAACAAGAAAAAGAACAACGCAAACAAGCATGTCAGGAGCCTGGGCCTCCATCAGCAGCGCGAAGACCTGGCAAGCTGAGCTGCTGCAGATGATGGCGCAACTGCGATGTTAAATTTGGTTAGGGGTTAGGGTTTAGGGTTTTCTGGGTTTAGGGTTTTCCGGGTTTAGGGTTTAGGGCTTCTGGCTTCATACCTCAGCCCGTTAGGGGTACACCTTGGCCCTCTGCCTCCAATATTACAGATATTCCCGATAAGCATCATATACTATCATATACCCACCCTTTTGCAACGACCCACCCTAAACCCTAAACCCTAAACCCTATACAACTTCTGCTGGGGGCTGTCAGCCATGAGTCCTTACTCAGCGGGTCGTGCAAGAAAAGGTGGCTCCGAAACCACTAGCCTCATCGCTCTCAGCCTCCTGAGCCTCATTTCCGAAAGTTCGAAAAAAGGCAATCAAAAGACTTCCTCAGCATATAGGAGCCTATCTGATAAGAATTATATAGGGACTATGTGGGCAAAATCCTGGTAGTTGTTTAGTCTAGATTCTAGATTGAAGCCGTAAGCACAAGAAACCCTCTTGGGTGCATTTGGCCTCGCGCGCGGCATCCTGCAAAAACTTCGTTGGGCTGCGCAAGAAAGAGTCTGGAGTTTAGGACTCAGGCTTCGAGGTTTCCATAAACGGCACTTTAGGATACTTTAGGATGAGGTCGGGGTGGTGGTCCTTCTTTCTTGCTTCGGGAGAACCACATGAATTTGAGCCACGGACTTGGAGTCAGAGTTCGTCTGCTCAAGGGCTTTGGGTTCGGGGAAGTTTCTTGCTGATTAGAGTTCAGGGCCAGGTTGCGTAAGTTTGGTTGTTGGTTTAGGGCTTTGCTAAAACCAAGCAACCCCAAGCTTGGCTCTTGTTGAGGAAACTGGATGAAGAAACCATCATAAGGGTACGAAACTGTTTGCGATGCGGACAGATCATGGTGAACCTGATTCAAGTTCCCTAGAGAGAGCCCAGCAAGTCAGTGCAACCCTGGGTGTTCAGTCCTCTCGCCCGCAGAGCATGGACAGCGCAGTCTGCCCTCCCGTACCATTGAGGAACTTCCTCGCAAGGGCTCGTGGCGCTTTTTTTGCCACCTGCACTTCCCACCTTCACGCGCAACTCCGCAGGGACAACTCGGGGAGACCGTAAGTTTTAAAGGCTTGGGGTTCAGGATTCCGGCTACAAGACGTCTGCAGCATTCAGAACTCGGCTCTGCATGAAAGTTTCCGCTTTGGAGGCCGCATGCCGACTAACCTTGCAGAACGTGTCCCAGGAGGATCTTACCGCATTCACCGGCATGGTTGATGCTCCCGCGCGCATCGCTTTAAATGTGCGCTCATGCTGCATGAAAGAAGGTTGGCAGCGCAGTGTCATCGTGGCACGCGTCATCAGGTTTACCAGCGATTGCCAATCTGGAGAATCAATGGCCAATCATCTCGCACTTAAGGTTTCTCCCCAGACCTGCAGCTAGCAGTCGCACCAACTGAAAGACGAGGGTGCCCCCATCCCCCCCAAAATGCAAAACCGTTACCTAAACCCCTATACCGGATCTTCGAACCCTCTCGACAATACACACGCGTGCTTTCTCCGCGGTCTTCTGGCCACAAGAACAGAAGCTTCGCACTGCAGCCGAAGCAGTGCAGCACCCAGGCTGCTGGTTGCACCTGCAAAGGAGGTTGGGACGATGCCACACTTTGCCAGCTTTAAGCCCGAAGCCTGGAGACGAAAATGGCAAGTAGCCTCGCTGTCGAAATCTACCGAACATGTACCCTCAAGATCGACCGCGATTTTGGAGTTGGCCAGTTCTCGAAACTATGGTACCTGTTGAGTACCCCAGAAGGGACGAACATCCAATGAAGCGCCCATGTAATTCAACTTGGCTCTCTGGGCACCAGGTTCTGCTTCGTGCAGAAAAAACATCACAAAACCTGCAAACCAGGGTATCCTGAACACCAAACATCCCTAAGCACCCCCATGCTAAACCCCGGACCTCTGGAAGGCACTTCGGGGCGCGAAACCCTACACCCTAACCCGAATTGCGCGGGCCTAGGGCCCGACGCCGGCCGGCATTGTGGCGGAGCGCCCTCAGCTCGCCTTGCACGGGTGCCAGGAAGCAGCGCCGAGACCTGGGGGTTTAGGGTTTAGGGTTTAGGGCTTGCGGTTTCGGGTTTCAGGTAGCTGGCACATGGACCCTTCACATCAACACGCTGCTCAACACTTCGCACCTCTGCACACAACACGCATGCCAAGACAGCCACATGTATCAAAACTTGCAGGTGTTGAGAAGCTGCCGTTGGCAGTCGCCGGACAACTTCCGACAATCCAGGCTATGGCGGATGCGGATTACTAGCTGGACGGCCCAACACCCCGCTCCCAATTGAGCCTGGTACCACTCTTGTTGTGGCAAAACAGCACAAGCAAAAGGTATCTGCGGAAGCAAAAAGCCGGTTGCTTCAAGGCAATACATTCCTCGGAGTTGATAAAAGGGGCGCTTGGAGGGAGAAATACACATGTAATCCCCAGCAGCTTTACAAAGCAAGCCCCCCTTAAAGACGTTGAACTGAACTTCGCTGAGCCTCCCCCCCTCCCAACCCAAACCCCAAACCCCAAACCCCAAACCCCAAACCCCCAAACCCCAAACCCCAAACCCTGAACACTGAACCCTAAACCCACAGCCACACCGGCACCCCTAAGCCTCAGCTGCGCCCAGCTCGACTAAGGTTGGGGCACGAAGCTGCGTGCCGGGCTCCACCATTGCCAGTCCTCCAGGAGCTCCGCCAAGGCCTCGTCTACACTTGCTCATCAGCACGGGAATAGCAGGTGAAAAATTAAGTTTCCATTCCTTGTTGCGTGTGAAGTGCACTTATTTTTTGCATCCAGGCCTCTGATCCGCTAGCCGGGCAACAGCCAGCCACTACAGCAGTGCTCTTAAACATGCAAACTCTTACCCCACTATGACAAAGTACAGATTCAGCCTTCTAAGTCCCTAATTCTGTCGCCCCTCTAGACCCGAAGATCAACATCTCAAGCCCAACTGCAGCCCAGTCTGCAACACATTCCACCTGGCTTGCCGAAGCAGTTCGGAGTGTCGGCGGCTGCCATATTTCGGTCTGTGTTGCCATGCCCAGGAGGTGTCCTAGGCTTCTTAGATGGTGAACGAACTTGTATGAGATGTATTGGGATGTTGACCCTTATACTAACCCTTCATAGGGATAATCCCTATTAAGGACTGTTAGTATAAAGGGGAGCATCCCAACAGATGTACAAAAAGAAGATAGGAGAGCAACAGTTTCCAGGGCCCAGGGTCGTATGCTGGGTGACAGCCTTGGCGTGTCCTTGGCATGGCCAGCTGCTGTCAAGGTCGCGAGGACTGTGGACGTGCACACTGCAGAGGGCAGAACGAGGTAGTCTTTCATGGAAGCCGACAGTTGCACCACCTCTTTCCATCGGTGGGAGGCCCTGCACGATCGCAGGATCGTCCCGAACACTGCAACGTTCGGCTGCAACTTCGTGACGTGACACATATGCCCGAAGAAGTTCAAGGCCTGTTCCCATGCGCTCCCATGCTCACATGCGCTGAGCAAGGAGCTCCACATGACGCCATCGAGACGGTGGGCATTTGCAGATCGCTCCACCAGCACGAAGGCCCGGCGCCACTCGGAACACTGCACGCAGCTGGCCACAACGGTGCTAAGACTGACCATGTCCGTCTCACCTGTCATAAGCGCCAAGGCGTGCGCCCACCTGCGCGCCTGTGCGCAAGAGGCAACTGTGGCGCCCCTGGCTGCGGTACCGGGCAGGGCCGTCAGCTCAAGCAGTGAGAGCGCCAGCGCCCAGCGCGGGCCCAGGGCCTTGACGACGGAGCCCACGGCGAAGTCGTCATAGCCTTGCAAGCCTGTCAGCCTCTCTCCATGAAGCCAGAGCAATTCAAGGGCTTGCTGCCACTTCCGTCCCTCCTTGCAGGTGGCCAGTGCCAGGTTCAAGGAGATGTCGTCGGCGCTGGGACCCTGGCCTCGGCTTTGCCACAGCTTCTCCAGCGCCCACGCGGCCCAACGCCAGTGGCCCACTTGGTGGCAGGCACCTGCTGCGGCGCCACAGACTCGTGTGTCCAAGGGAAAGCCCTCCTCTGTCCTTGGAAATCTAGAGGAAGTTTACAAAAGGGCCGTGCTCAACAAGCCGAAGTTGGCAGCCACAGAGGAGACAGACAGCACTCTTGAGCGAGCCAAGTCTCAGAGAAGCCAGCAGCTGCAAAGGCCACCGCCATTCGTTGGATTGCCGGCAGATTGTCATGATCAACGCGTAGGTCACGCTGGAAGGCCAGATCTGGTGCAACTTCATGTCTTCCAGCCTCACAGCTTGAGGGGCGTGGGCTAGCGGAACATCGAGCTCAATTCCTGGATACATCAAAGGCAATCTCAAAAACTTGACAGCCCAAGCTGGTGACAAGCCAACGGCATCCTTCCACTTGCCGACGGAGCGATGTTGCATAGCTCGGGCATGGAAGCCAGCAAGGCATCTTCCGTAGCCCTGCTGCAACATGACCTCGCAGCTTTCAAAAGAGGCATCCCTGCCCCATGCCTTGCAACTCAACCAAACTCTCTCCGTCCAACTGAAGGGCTCGAGTACCTTTAAGCTCCCTTCGAAGTTACTTGCCGTATTTCAGGCTTCAGGCCCGAGAATTTCCTCTATAAGAGCCGAAGAGAGCCCTACTTCAGAAGTATACACTTCCGTAAATCCCAGTCCTTAGGAGTTTCGCCCTTCGGCCCTAGGGCCTTGGCGATGGCCAGGGCCTCCTGCCAAGCGTGCGCCACATCGCACGCTGCGACGGCCCTGGCAAAGACCTCCCAGGAGGCTCGCGAGCCGAGGGTTTAAGGCTTGCAGGTTGGGATGTTCCCCCTAAAACTAACAGTCCTTAATAGGTACCAGAGTACCCCCTACAATAATCCCTATTAAGGACTGCTAGTTTGGAGGGGAACATCCCAGCTTACAGGGTTCAAGGCTCGACGGCTCGAGGGCTGCACTATGGTGTAGGGACGACCCCTCGATCCTAAATCTCTAAGCCCTAAACCCTAAACCCTAAAACCAACCCACAGCCACACCACAGGAGGGCTAAACCCTAAACCCTAAACCCTAAACCCTAAACCCTAAACCCTAAACCCAGGTGCCAAGTGCCCCTGCCTCCCTGCCATGGTCTCCTGGGCTGTCAAGGGATCGAGGCAGGCTTCCGAGCTAGTTCCTTCAACGGCTTCAGGTGTAACACCCCCCAAAAAGATGTATGACACATACATGCTTAACGCATACACACACACACACATATATATATATATATGTACACGCACATATATATATATATATATACATATATATATATACACATACATTTATGTACACACATATTAGCATTGGCCGAGTCTCCGCCCTCCCACCAAGGTGCCAGTGCCCTGACCAGCCCGCAGCGGCGCATCCCCGGGCCGGGGCCCGGGGTGAGGAGGCGGCACCATGGGAAGGAGTGAAGATGTCGCTTTTCCAAAGACACAGCTTTCTTTCTGCGGTTACACAGTGGGAGAGCTTTTAGGCTGGTGTACTTAGTCTTTGCAATTGAGGGGCAAAAAAGGCCCTATTGCTTATCAGCGGCCAATGTCTTGCATGTTGCTGGCAACCTAGCTGGGCTTGAATGCCGAGGGCTTGTTCCCTAACCAGACTGAGACGGTGGTTTTGGGGTGGGGAGGTGGTGACGCCAGCGTATCGATTGGCCTCATGATAATTGCTTGAGGCCTCCTCCTCCTCCTCCCCCTCCCTTCTTCAGGCATTGATTAAGGCTGTGTTAAGGGTGCACCTAGCCGTAGCCCAGCAGCCGAGCAGCCGAAAACTGGACGACCCTCAAAAAAGCACGCTCATGACATGCGCCTGCAGTTCCAGCTTTGCTCCTCGAGAATCTGCTGATGCAGTTCTGAATAGTTCTGATAACGGGAGCACGCTCCGCAGCTCCTGTTACCAGGTCGACAAGAAGCATAAAGGACATCTTCATGAACTCACGAGAAAGCCTCAACCAGCGGTGCACCTCTGGAACCGCTGCAGCGGATGAATCTCAGCTTGGCCAGTACATGTCCATAACAATTCTGCCGCAGTCGTGATGAAACGGTTTCTGGCGGACAGCCCACGGATCAATCTCATCATGCTCATACGCATCGTACAAGAGCACGTTGATAATGTTGGACTGGCCATCAAAGATCCTGGTGTCTGTCGACAACAAGACTCGCCGATGTTCTTGCTCTGGCAGTTTCTGCAACAAGCATAATTTTGCTTCCAGCAGACAAGCGAATGAGCTTGCACCGGCGTGATTCCATGATTGGTCTTGCAGGACTCGGGCAAACAGCTTGGAATAATCCAATGTAGACTGCATCACGTTGAGCCGTGTCAAATCAGACAATGTCCCAACGTATTCCGCAATCAAAAAGACTGCGAAACATACTCATCTGGAAGGTTCCGTGTCAACTTGTGGCTCAAATCATCCAGGAAGCTGACAATTGGATTGCTGCGCCTGCATTTCACTCAGGATTGCCTTGGCAGATCGTGCATCGCCTCAAGCACTGAGCCGCCTTGAGTCATCGCGGCACAGACGCAAGCGACGAGAGATTGCAACGAGCCTCGGCGTATGCCCAGCAAATGCTCTTCTCAGTGAGCGGCCAACAGATTTACCTGCGTCCTTTGTGTCCCATGAGAACTTGACGCAGTGGCCTCTTGGCCAACATGCAAACCCGCCGTTTGCAAAACACTGCTTTCTTGATGGTGCTCGTTTTGGGCACGCCTTTCCCGACATGGCGGATGAACTTGCACACAACTTCTCACAAGCGATCCCTTACGCACTTTGCAATTCCGGGGCCTCTGGGCCATACCGCCGTGCCATGAGTCGTGCGGAGTGTTCCCCAAAACACCCCTTGATATTGTAGCCCTTCGTTTGATACTTTAGGAGCTTGGTTGTGCTCCTGCCGCCAACACTACCTGTGCAGAAGGCGCTGAGACTTTCGGCTGCGGCAGAGCCACCGTGACTTCCGAAAAACCGTGCGACTTTGCCTTCTCCGACATGACCTGGGAATTGTTGCCCCAAGTCCCAGGCATGTGTTCGGCATATTCCCCGTACACGAAAACGATGTTGTATGATGGCCTGCTGGGACCACCAGACATCCGGGACAGCAAGTCTGCAAAGAAGCGAGAGATGGAGAAGCCTTGGTTTGCAATGGAGAAACCTTGGTTTGTAATCAACGTGTTCGTATCTCCCATGAGTGGGTGCGAACGACACAAAGAGTCAAACTCCTCCATGATCTCATCGCGCTCATTCCTGTGCAGCGGAACCGGCCCGGTCTTGGTGGCATCTTTGTAGGTTCGAACATGCAACTCCACGTCGCTGTCGGGGATGCTGGTGCCGCGGGGTAGTGCGCCGACTATCTCGATGTCCATGTGCGGCGTTAGCACCTTCGAGACTGCCCTCCTCAACAGCTGGACCACAGTGCTATGCTGCGATTCATCCAAGTCCAGGGATGGTAGATTGGAGCCCGCGGACTGCGCGAATGGGACCGGATCCAAGGGGATCCGGCGCAGTCCTGGCAAGTCGGTCATGTCGGTCATGGCTTTAGCAAAGAGCAGGCTGAGCCACTTTGGCGTAAACAAAAACGTAGTCGAACGGCATATCTGAGCCAGAGTGGCGTAAACAAAAGCGTAACCGAACGGCACATCTCTGAGCGTCTGCAACATGTAGCAAGGATCGGCCACAGAACCTGGCTAGTCTCTGAAATCACAAAAGTAGCGCAACCTGACCCATCACGTGATACGAGTAGCCCGGCCACAAGTAAATGCCAGCGCTTTTCAGCTGGCGCGGAGTGCGCCAGTAGACAACCGAAGGAGCTTCCCAAAATAGAGCTAACACTCACAGCAAATCCCGTAAACGCAGAAATTAGTAGAATACATCGCATAATCCATCGCAGAATATACCCTGCAGTCTAAGAGTATACTATCACCACAAATACATAGCATGCAGCAATCTTGGACAAGGTATGTAGAAGCATTGGGCCAAATCCTACGCCGGTTGCCTCCGCTGCTGCTCGAAGAGATCTTCTCTAAGCTTCTGTTCGAACTCGTGCCTACGCACGCCGAATGTTCTGTGGGCTCCGGGCTCGAGGATGCAGATCGGTTTGGGGTTTAGGGTTTAGGGTTTAGGGTTTAGGGTTTAGGGTTTAGGGTTTAGGGTTTAGGGTTGCTGACCAGCTTACTTGCTAGGGTTCTGGTGCGGTGAGTCCAGAGTCCATCTTCTCTTCAAGCGAGGTATCAAAAACAAGGAACGCTTCTGGTTGCATCTTTGCAGAGAAGTGCAAGGTTTTCAAGTTTAGGGTAAGAACAACCACAAATCATCTTGACGCACGACCACTAAAATCCCTATAAGCCCTCCTAAGCCCATAGACCGAGCAGCTCAGACCTATGAAGCCTCTAAGCAAACCTACATGCCCAAAAACCCCTAAGCCTTCGCGCCCCCCAGACTCCTTCTCAGCTAGTCATGCAAACAATCCCAGATGCCTGTTCAGGTTTAGGGCCTGTTTAGGGTTTAGGGTAATATAGGGAAGATCCCCGCGCACTTCTTGAGTCCTGATCCTTTTGTACTCGCCACTCCTGGGTTGTACAGAAACAAGAACACAACATATGTCCGAAGGAGACTACAACATAAACCCTAAGCCCTATGATCCGGCTTCTGTCTAAGTAGAACCTATTAAAAACCATTAAGAACCTGATAAAAGCCCCTAATAAAGGCTCTATAAAAACCCCCTAAACCCTAGACCCTAAACCTCCAAGAACCGTATTCAAGCCGAACGCAAGGGAAAGCTGACATTTGCAAGGCCCCGGCCTTTGGAAGAGCTTCTGCCCTGGGGTCAAAAGGTTTAGGGTTTATGGTGTAGAGAATAGTTGGGGTTTTGGGTGAGTTGGTCTGGGGCTATAGGTGTTGCGTCAACATGCTTTCGCTTCTCCACGAAAAACAACTGCGCAAACCCGTTCAGTCTATTTGAGGATCTGAAATATAAACCCTAAAACCGCTTTGCGTAAACCAGGCTTCCTTGTCTCACCTATATATAGGGGTAAGGGGAGAATTGAAGTCGATCACTACAAGGCTGAGCGCAACCTCTGCGCCTAAGTGGCTGTTGGGTGTTTGGGGTTTATAGGGTCTAGGCTTGAGGAGGACTCAGGTGCTATGACTAGACCGCGCCATTGCTTCAGCTAGAGGGCAAAGCAGAAGCGCTTCGCACCAGAAAACACGAACCTGTGCCTCGGAATGCCTCTGGGCAGCCCCAAACCTCGCAATCCACGCTTCTGGGCTCCGAAAGCCTTCTCAACCCCGAAAAGATCCAAAAAGGGATTAGAGTCTCGACCCCCAAGCCTTCTTCCAGAAGCTTCTCAGCAGCCTTGTACGCCCCGGCGCCGAGCGCCACCTTTCAGGGTTCACACGGCTGACAGGGTTGAGGGCTTCGACGCGCACACTAATGGCAGGCAAAGCGGTTTCGAGTCAAACCCCTTATCCCCTTCAACCCTGGCACCCTAAGCCCCCAATCAGCTCCAGAGCACTAACCGCATACACCGACAAGAGTCTGAACTCTCCCCTTTCGTGGCTCGGTATGAGCCAAAGAGCGTGAAACTATCGCAGCCTTGGTGACACTCACCTCTGCTGCCCACTGCAAGAACAAGAAGACCCAGAACAAGTAACAAGACCCAAGACAAAGTGGCGCTATGCTACTGTCGGTTAGGGTGCAGTATTGCTGCAGAGTGGTGTACTCTCTACTTAGGGCGCACTAGGGCCGTGTGGCTTTGACATCACGGCCGAAAGAGTCCATGCAGAGAATCAGGCCGCGAGGTGCTATAGGCTGCTAGGCTGCTAGATCGCTCAGCGATCTGTATATGCTTGGCGATCCCTGATGGCGAAGTCGGGGCTTCCAGGTCGATCCAGGAGCTCGGGGTTGGAGACAGAGTACGCGAGTCCTGCCGGTGTCCCGGGCAGCAGTGGCGGCTGCTGCAAGCTTGGCGGCGCTACCGTGGTGGGGTCTGGGACACAGTAGCGGAGATCACGCACTTGCATCAAGCTGAAGGTCGACACCTGCTCCACCTGGCTGGCGAGCGCGCGCATGTTCGCCTTCTCAAAGGCAGTAGTATCGTACTTGAGGTTCTCCGAGCGGCGGCGGCGCTTCTGCTTAGGAGGCAGGATCAAGCTGTCGACGAAACCTTTAACACGTCGGAGGACACCCTTCTTCTTCCTGGAGGCCGAGGACAGAGATCCCCCGGACAGGCTGCTGCGATTACTGCGAAAGCTCTGCTGGCTGCCCAAGGACGCTCGGGAGGTGCGGCGGCTCAGATGCGGCGTCTCTGCCACCGAGGGGGTCAAGGCCTCAGGGTCCTTGCTTTCCATGGAGTCCTTTGAGCCGCGGTGGGGGTCGTCGTCGTCGTCATGGATCTCTTCACCACGCCAACGCGCGAGGTAGACCCGCCAGACACCTGCGAAGTGATTCCACCACACGTCTAAGCTTGCGCCAACGCTGACGCGAAGCAGTGGAAGCACGACGACCACGATGAAGAAGCAGAAAAGCGAAACTCCGACCAACTGGAAGGCCGTGTTGATCAACTCACGCTCTGCCCTGCGAATAGCATCCAGCTCCTCCACAGGGGTCCCTGCTTCTTGACGGATCACCAGAAGCAGGATCACGGACATGCCAACCACGTGGGCAAAGAAGCAGAAGTTGCAGAAAAAAATCGGGAGCAGTGCCCTCCACTTCCGGTTGGCCTCCTGCTTGAGGCTGTCCTCGAGATAGCGAAAGAATCGGACAAATTCCTGCTGGTCCAGGACGCCGAATTTCTTCTCCTCATCCATCTCGCGCAGGATGTCTTCAAACGTGACGCGCTTCGTTTTGTATCCGCACAGCTCTACTGCATCCATGAACTGCTCCATCGTAATCTCACCGAAGTCGGCCACATCGATCTCTCGAAAAGCTTCATCAAGCCACTCGGCCGGCACGGTTTTCCCGAAACGGCCGCCCTGACCCTTCCGACGGCCCCAGCGAAGCACGCGCGCCAGAGATTTCGGCGCCTCGACCTTCTTCTTGCGTTTTCGACTCTGATTTCTTTCCATCTGCCGGGCTCGCCTGTCTTGGGCAACTTTCAACCTGTCCATCCGACTGAGGCGCGCTTCAGCCTTGAGCTGGGCTTGTCGCTCCTCTGGCTCTATCGCCTCCTCGTCCGAAACCTCTGCCTCGCCACCAAGAACCACCTGCCTCTTGGGGGACCGATCCAGGGCTTTCACAGAGTTGTAGACAGCCAGCACCGCAGAGCCCCCAGCGAAAGCCATACCACCAAGGATGCACTGTGGACCACTGGCGCTGAAGAGGCCCCGCATGCTCAACAGACCTCCATAGGTTCCAGGGGTTATGCCAAGCAGGGTGTCCATTCTTTTTGCTCCCAACAGGGGCGTTTAGCAGGGGAACCTATAGCCCTTAAGACTCCAAGAAACACCTAAGGGACCCCACTCTGGGTTTTCAAACCTGCGAAGAAGAGCGAAGAGCAGGCGCAAGCGCATGCGGTACCCGCAAGCGCGGCCCCTGTCAACAGCGCCAGCAAGGAGATACCTTTGCTTTCTGGCTTTGCAAGGGTTTAGGTTTAGGGTTTAGGGTTTAGGGTTGAAGGAGCTTCATGTATGTAGGTGACTATATATTTGTTATGTGGCAAGGAAGACAATTGGCTCATCATACTCCCTCATTTTTGTATGTAAGTTCCTCAACAAGAACCCAGATACCGCACCTGGCCAGGAAGAAGCAGAGAGCTGCACCCGGTCCCAGCCCTGCAGCAGTCAGCAGCAACGTCGGGAGCATCGGCAACATGTCACAGGTCCCGGGATGCAGAGGATTGTCCGGCAAAATATCTAGCGGCAGGGTCGTGAGGGTTGTCGTGTAGAGGGCTTGTGCGTCGCGTTGGCAATAGGCCTCCCAGGTCGAGGCTTCGCGCCCACGCGGCTTCGTCACCCAGGAGGGAGGGTTGTCGAAGACAAAGCCCCACAGAGTTGCCACGACAGGCGGTGCGTTGTCGAGGTTCAGGAGCTCCTTTGGATCGCCAACATCCCACCATGGCAGGAAGATGGCGCCGGAGATCAGCGCACTGCCGGCCAAGGCAAGGCCTCCCGAGGCCAAGCTTCCGCACCGAATCCGCGTCCTGTTAATGTACATGGCACATCCGTGCACAGGGGCGGCCGCGCAGCTCCATGGCAGTGCGTGTGCTTCTTTTTTTTGGGGTTTAGGGTTTCTAGGCTGCCTTGAAACACAGGGACTCTTGGGCTCAATGCTGGGGGGTCTCACAGTGAGCAGCACAAGTAAGCTCCGAGTTGCGTCTGGGAAGTTGGCTCTCTCTTCTCACGTCCAATTATGCTTAGCCCCCCCCAAAAAAATCCGCATGAGCCTTGCTTGCGGGAAGTTGCGGATTGCAGCCCGTCGCGGTCTTTCCGTCAACTTCAAGGATCGGAGGTTAGGACTCTGTGCAATATGGGCGCTGAGGAAGTTTGAACGCCCGCTAGTACAGGAGGCTTTGAGGATCCACGCCCTTCTCCACTCCGCACACATCCCGTGCAGTGTCTACGAAGCCTCGACGACTCTGGCCCACAAGATGCAAAGCAAGGCCCGCGAGGCAAGGCGCTTAAGACGTCTTCCCCATTCCGCAGTAACAGGCAGGAACGACGTGACATGACTTCAACCGCCGTCTTCGCAAGATGGCTCGCGAAAGGCTTGCGCAGCTGAAACATAGTCTTCAGTCTCCAAGGGGGCGATCACATAATTTTGTGTAAACCCTATATATATATGTACATATATATATATGTGTCATATCATCCCAGAACGAGTTCCCACTGCAGCCGTTTAAGGGGATCTAAGGGGGGTCCACTGACCTCCGCTGGAGCACAACACGCCTACTGGAAAGAGCACAGAGCTTGGACATCTCCTCCAGGACGTCTCATAGTGTTACATGTGTATCATATGGGATTATGCTATGGAGATAAGATGAAGCCACATGTTATATGATACATTACTAGGTTGCCCAGTGGTTGCCTAGCGGATAAAGGGGGGTGCCATTTTTTTTGCTTGGGGTTTAACCTCACAAACAGGGAAAACCGGCACTACTGGGCATCCTAGCTTATAGCACGCGTGGGCCTGAAGTAGGCTGAGTCCATCCTCGTTGGGTTGGAGCAAGGCTGCTGCCAGGGAGTCCTGGGAGGAATGGGGTTTGGGGTTTAGGGTTTAGGGTGTAGGGTTTAGGGTTTAAGCTGTACCCTTTGGGAGCCTGGAAGCTGCTTTTCAATGCGCGAACTGCGGCCACAACTCACTCCAGGTGGGCCCCTTGAGCCTTAAAGCCCTCTTTGTTGATATTCCTGCACAAGGGCCCATCAACCAGGAAAAACTAACCGGGCCAGTCAGAAGATTTTTATGCCCACGCAGCGGGTCGTCCTCGGATTCTGCATCCAGGAGGGCTATCAGGCCCTGGGAGCTTCAGGTCCAAGGGGGTGGAGGGGTCAATTTGAAATTCGTTTGGGGAAGATCAAAGTTCCTGGGTCATCCTCAGAACGCCAGCCAAGCCCCTCAACAAGTAGCTTCCAGCTACTGGTAGCTTCAAAGCCCGCTCCTGAACCCTAAGCCCCAAACCCCTCAGCTCTCGTGCCTCGGAGTCGTCCGCCCGCGCGGCGGCAAGGGCCGCCGCCTGGCTCTGGTTGCCGCCTGGCACTGGGATTCGACTCTTATGGGGGAGGGTTCGAACTTAAACAAACAGGTCAGAGGATGCTTGGGATTCATTAAGGGCACGAGTGCACCGAGGGAAGCAGTTCCGACGCTGTGCTGAGAGGGTCGGTGGAAGTTGGACGGTGGATCTGAAGATGAACCCGGGCTTGGGTGCTGCGGGACTTTGGGACGGCTTAGGGTTCAGAAGCCTACTTCTCCGATTGCCAAAGAAGAAACTTGAACAATTATTGGCCAAATATTGCACGAGAAACCTGCAAATTCCATCTATGCGAACTTGCAGCGCCTCGAGGGAAATGATGCTCTTCCTTCACAGGAGGAGCTCGAGGCTCTCTTTGGGCAACCGAGCAGGATTGCACGGCCTCCCAGTTGCAGGAAGTGGGGTGTTCAAATTTAGACCCGACACTTTGATTCGAGTCCCTGATAGAATGGCCATTCCGGGGAGCTTATCGTCTGCTATGGGGGTGATAATGATGAGAGGGGTGCTAATGGGCGGCATTTGTATTAGGGGCACGCTAAGCAGCGCCCGCTTTCACGCAGCATCGAATTTCGCGCATCATTCCAGCCGGGCTTAGGGCTTAGGGGCCCTGACTAAACCTCTTTCTGCGGGCTGGAAGCGCCAACCTCTGGAAGCAGACCTGAACAGCAAACCCCCCCAAAACTCGGCCCTACACGGCTTCGAAGGCTTCCCGGCACGCGACACCCCCCAACCCGAAACCCTGATTGCCAAGGTGTCCAAGGAGGACATGCGCAAGTGAATGGCGGCCTCCAACTCTTCCTTGGCCACCATGAGCTCCGCACGCAAGGCTTCTTCCTCGAGCTTCTGAAGCCCCCCTAAGCCCCTGTTGCCGTAGGGTTTGGGAGCTTGTGGCCCACGAGCCTGGGGAGGGCTTAGGGATTTGGGGCTTAGGGATGTCAGGCTCTCACAATGGCAATTAGTTTTCAGGCGCAGTGGGTTTTGGCAGCTTCGGGGTCATTAGGCTTGCGGCGTTCCACTGTCTGCTTATGCGTAGTGCTTGCGACAAAGCAGGCAGGGGGGGGGGGTAGAGATCATGCGGTCGCACAGGGGAGGAATGAGACATGTTGTCTGCGCGGCCGCTTCAGGCTAGTACCAACCATAGGAATACTCACCACAACTCAACTCTCACGATCAGGTTTAGGGTTGGATCCTGACCTCCCATGGGGGCAACCAAAGCTTCTTGCACGGCCCCCCTACAGCCTGCTCAAACCAAGAACCCTCCTTTTGAAATTTGCGCAGCCTTCAGCTCCGAAAAGCAAGCCTTAGCCTGCCTGCCTCAGAGCCGCTGAAACCGTGAAATTCCTCCGGAGCCCCTGAGCCGCTTCGCCTCGGAAGCCTGCTCACCAGCAGAGAAACCCCTCAAAAGTCCCCCCCCCCCAAGCCCTTTTTTAGAGCAAATTTGAGACCTTTTTCTACACCACCCCACTGAGGCTGATACGACCTGTGCTGCTCGGGCTTCCCTCTCAGAACCTGCTTGCTCCAAAGATCTTTGAGCAAGTTGGGGGGGGCTTCTCAGAGCTCAGGGGGCACTACTCAGGATGCTTAGAAGATCATGGCGAGCTCATCTCGAGGGCGGAAGGGCTCTTGGGGGAGTTTTTGCACACATTGGGGTTTACCAAGATCCGCTCGCTTTCTCGTTCTTCTTGGTTTCTAGGGACAATGGGTGGCCCTTCCACGCATGCCTCCTCAAATGCGATTTTTGAGGAGTGTTCCTCAAACTATGATTCCAGACCCTGAGGCAAACAACGTTGCAACAGTCTAAAACCCGCTCGAAGATCCAAACCGCATGAGCCCCATTCTCTCGAAAGAAAGCAGGAAAAGCGCGCCACACCCTGATCTCGATAAATTAGACTGTTGCTTTGGGTCTTTTTATAGCATAGTGATCTAGGATGATAAGGGGATGATGTGAGATGTGTATTTAGGCTCCATGAGGTCCCGAATCCCCGAAGTTCCTACGAAGAACTAGTATAGGTTTGGTCGTTCCGCACCCTGAGGCAGACACGGGCCAGCTCATCGGCGACGTTTGCCGGCGTCAGCGTCTGGTTCAGCGCCTCTGACAGCCACAGTATCCCTACACTTACTTTGGAGTACTTAGACCCTGGAAAAAAGGGTATATACTTTTTAGTACTAAGTGGCTATAATAGGAACCCAGAACCAAAATGAGGTATTCAAGTATAGTAGTCCAAAACCCAGCTATGATCCCCTAAATCGGAGGCTCCGACTTGGGGACAGTGAGGCTGGCGGTTACCCTCAAGGCTGCCAGTGGTTCTAGGGTTTTACCGGGTTTTACGGGTTTAGGGCTTTTAGGGTTAACTCCGAAAGCTCTGCTTCGCTTTAGACTCTGAGAACCCAAGGGGACGCCTGCGCCTCTTCCAGCTCCTTCTGCAGTGCGGCCACCTCACAACCAGCAGAGCTTCAAGGCGCCATTTACTCACAATGAGGGACAACTCACGGTAGCAATACATGTGTAAACATATAGAAGACCTCTTGCGCAATTTATTCCGTATGTATATGTGCACACTTTTTAAAGCACAACATTTCTACGAGAGCCTTCAGCCGGCCAAAGCCCAACTGCAGTCTGAGTCTTGCCCAAGTCTCGTCGCAGCGTGAGCCGTAGCAATGATGTGCCAAACCCTCCAAGAAACGAGGAGGGGACCCTAAACGCTAAACCCTAAACCCAAAACCCTAAACCCTAAACACGGCAATGTTGTCCATGGGCTCCTTCAACTTCCCGGGCCGCTGTGCAATGCCACGTTTCAAGGCCAGAAGACGTCACAAGTCCGGAAGCTTTGTTTCCATCCAATTTTCACTTGGAGCCCAGTTGAGCTTCCTGCGTTGCAGGTGTAAGAATACCCTGGTGCTTTGCATGGTGCTTGGCACGTCATCTGCTCAAGATAACTTTCATCGATCGGCTTACTCTCCGAAACTTGCGTGCGGCAGGCAAGTGTCAGGGTTTGCACCTCAACTCCTAGCGCAAGAAAAACACGTGCCCACTTGCCGAAAGCCAAAGGCCACGAACAATGCTTTTTGGAAAGGGGTTCTACAAATGTTGAAACCTGCTCACCATCCAGCCCAGATCATTCTGGTCCCAGAACCTCCAAACCCTCTAGACTCATCCTTCCTCCCCCAAACCAAACACGACCCTAAACCCTAGGTCTAAACCTAAGCTGAGGCCGTGACCGCCTGACGCTCTGCCTGCAGTTGGCGCGCCAACTCCTGAGGATGCCGCCCCGTGAAGTTTCATGGCTACGGTTTAGGGTTTGGGCTCTGGGGAGTAGGGTGCAGGGTTTAGGGTTAATGGTGAGAACTTATTTGAGGTTCCTTGTAGCCCTGGCTGGTCCTGGTTGGTCAACTAACCAGGCAAACGTGGGGCACCCCTAAAACCCTTTTAACCCTAAAAACTATAAATCCTTTAACGCTCAACCCTAATTGGGATTGGAGCTCGGCCGAAGCAATGATGAACCCATGAGCCCATGGGTCTCTCCCTCGCTGTAGATGTATATGTATATATTAGACATATCTGCAAACTTCGTTGAAACTCTTTAGCAGCAGGCTCCGTCTGGCTACAGGCTCGTGGTGCAGAGCAAACACACTGACCGCCCCCCCAAACCCTAAAGCCGTCGTTGGACTAAACTCGAAACCCACCAAATTACTAGTTACCAGACCCTGAATGCCCAACCGGCATCCAGAAATGCTCGGCAGCACCTGCACCCTAAACCCTAAACCCTAAACCCTAACCCCTAACCCCTAAACCCTAAACCCTAAGCCCGAAGCCCTAAACGAGCTCCTCGGCATCGCGGTCCCGTCGGGAAGCGCCGAGGGCGGCCGAGATGGCCGATGCTGCGGAGGGATCCTGGTGCTCTGAAGGGGGGTAAGGGGGGTAAGGGGGCTGCTCTGGGCCTTCAGCAACCCTCCACCCTGTGTGCTACTTGTTTCAGGGCCGGACTTGAAACCCAAACCCTGAACCCTAAAACCCGAAACCCCCCAAAGGTTCGGAGGATGCTCCTGGGATTGCGGACTGCGGCCCGGGGCTGGAGGATGGAACTTAGATGCTATGCCCTAAACCCTACGCAAACCCTAAGCCACCCAAGCCATCCCAAAACCTAAGAACCCAAACCCTAGCCTACACAATTCAATTAGAGCTCTTATAAGGCACCCCACCCTAAACTCCATGAATGCCCCCACATGGGCACCCCGACGTCGGGGGGTTCGTGCCTGGGACAGCGCCTCAGCCATCGACAGCTGCGAGCGCAGCTGGGCCACCTCAGAGCCCAAGTGCCACGAGTGGTTTAGGGTTTAGGGTTTAGGGGAGTTTGGGGGGCTTATCTACATCAGGGCACCGTTTTCGGTCCTCTTTGCTCTCTTCTACTTTGACCAACCGCCCGTTTCAGACTTGGAGTAACTCCGGCTCTCGAGCAGCAACAAACTCCCGCGCTCCAACGCCAAAAGTACACCCCATTCGGGGTTTGGGGCTTCGAAGAGTAGAGGGCCACCGAGCCTGTGAAATTGAGCGTTCCCGGCTTTCGGCATTCCTAGACAAGGACTGGTTGGGTATTCTCCCTATGCACCCAAAGGGATGAATCCACAGGCAAATCTTGGGAAACCCCAACAGAGCCTTTTGTCTCAGGCCCTGGGCCAAGCCAGCTTCGGCAGCGAGGTCTTGCTGCATTTGGTCCTTACGGGTGGGTGGATGAGTGGGGTGGGGGGGGGGCAAACCCAAATGAGCAAAGAGTTTTTGACAACCCTGAGCCTAAATCCGAATATCAGTCTCGTAAATGCACAGCAAACACGACACCCAGGACCATCTGAAAGAGGCACTGGAAATCTGAAACCCGAGAGGCCGCGCCAAGTGCCACAGTACGTTGCTGCCGGTATGATGCGCAGCTCACGGTTCTTCTTCGAAGAGTCAGTGAGTCGGCAACTATGAAGCAGATCACCACTGCCAGGGCAAAGTTTAGGGCCCGCGCCGCCACTTTTTGAGCCCGAGCCAGCTCGGCCTGTCACAGCAGTGTGCCACAACTCAACTACAGGCCAATTTGCTGGTTGAAAGCAGTGCTGATCCTAAGGCAACCTGTAATCATTCTCCCGTAAATTCTCCTCTGCAGCACTCCAGCCTTTCAACATTGGGCTTCCTGAAAGTTCGGTTTTTTAAGGGTCCTCTTCAGGGGGATTCTGGTACATGCAGAGGAAGACATTCGTTTTATCAGAAACTCGGAATCAGGACAGGAAGGAGTTGGCCATGTCAATAGCAGCCCCAGAAAGTGGCATTAGGCCTGGGCGAGACTGCCAGGAGAGCAATGACCACAGCCAGTCAGAGGCTGCCCCCCACCCCTCCCAGCCATAATCCGGACACGGGACACCCTTAGATTCGCTGAGCTCCGAAATCCCGGCGACGTCCCTCTTTTCTGCCTCCAAGCTCGCCCCTCGCGCGCGCAGCTGAAGAGCCTGGCATCACAGGAGACACAAGGGCTGTAGAGCCCACTTTCACTCGCGTAAGCCACTTCAGTTCCGTCCTCAGGGCTAGAACATCTCGATCTAATGGCGGGTGATTTGGAAACCGCCTCCAGTAAAACCGATGAGCAGACATGGGAGAACCCTGAAGCAGAAGCTCCAGCCTTTTGACCACATTGAGCCTTGAAAACTGATCAACCCATCCCAAATGATCCCACAACCTCAAAGCTAACATCCAGGGTCGCCTACCAACCGGCTGCACTAAGTTTAGGGCCTAGCCCTAAACTTTTTTGAGCTAACACCTGAATCCAAATCAACGCCTCCTGCGCCGTTTTCTGCGTCATGGTGGCCGCTTCCGCCTGGAATGCTTCAGTGCCAGCGGACCGGAGACCGGGGCACCCTACCGTAAACCCTAGACTGCAAAGAAGGTTTAGGGTTTGGCGCTCTTGAGGCTCTGAGACGGTCCACACCCCCCCCGTCTCTCCGAAGCCAGTGCTGCCCCTGCCTTGACGGACGCCTGGCGGCAGGGAAGAGCTCAAATAGGGGTTCAAGGATTTGGGTTTTTGAGGGAGCGCCCACCAAAGCCATATGAACCATGCTCTGTCAACTGGAAACCCTCAAACGCATGGCTTGGATCCGAGTGCAAAGTAGGAATCAGAGCAGGGTAATGTCTTGCGATCTACCCGGGGTTGTTCACGTAGATATCCCTCAAGAAGAGCCTGCACCACCCAAACCCTACCCAACCGGAATTCCTAAAGCCTGCAGCCTGCCAATCAAACATAAATTCCAGCCGAAAGCCAAAAGCCCATATCTACCTCCATACATAGACATCAGTTAATAGAGAGGCATCTGTAGATACATGTGATTACACATGTCTTCTAGACATATACCTATCTACATCTAGTTCCAAGTAGCTAGTTCCTGAAAGGGGGGGGTGCTTGTGTTGTGGAAGAGGGATCTAATAGAAGGGCCTTAATACTTTGAATAGGGTTTTGGGGGTTCTTCTAGCATAGTTATGAAGGGGCCATAAGAGAATACGATTTGTAATAATTCCGATCCCTACAGTACACGAACTTGGAACTAGCCCACGGAGTCGCAGATGCCACCTCGGACAGCTCCAGCTGGTGGCGCAGCCTCGCAAGGATCCGCGGTGTGGGGCGAGGTAGTGCCTATTATAATACGGAGCCTTGCATTTCCCCCCCTTACTAGGGGAACTAACTTTTGGGGGCACCTAGAAGCAGGAAGTGTGTAACACTTAGGCAGATGTTGGGGGGTAGGGGGCGAGTTTGGGAAAAGCCATGCGAGACTCCAGTCTACGTGGGGAACTTAGCTTCGACATTGCAGGCATTTGGATTCTGCTGAGACGCATGCTGTGGGATTGCATCCATTCCCCGCGATGGTGTGCAGGGACGGATGTCGCTGTACATGCCCCTTGTCCGTGTCTGTGCTGCGAGTTTGGCTCAAAACGATGTACAAGGACCCATGTGGAGTCACCACAGTGGACCCAGCCAAGTCAGCAGCAGTCGGACAAGCTGTCGGATGCAAAACTCTCACAGAACGCCCTTGGGAGCCGAAATCTCCTCCAGAGTTTTTCCTTTTGTTTCGATGGCCGCGAATGCCGCAACCACTGTGATCATGGCTGTGATGGCAGTAAAGACGCCGAAGAGGGCGGCCTGCCCACCTAAGAGGTCGGACAAGGGAAGGAAGCAGAGGTTTACGATTGATGCGCCTGCTCGGTTCAGCAGGACGCAAAGGCTCATGCCTTTACTGCGGAGTGTTGATGGAAAGAGCTCCGAGGCGTAGAGCCAGCACACAGGCCCAAACCCAATAGAGAAGAAAGCAACATATGCAAAGGTTCCCACCACAGCAAGGATGCCGACGTCCAGCTCGCGGTAGGAGCCGAGGCTTACCATTACAAGGCTCAGTGCTGTTCCAAGGCTGCCAAAGATGAGCAAGGGCCGCCTGCCCACCGAATCCAGGGCAGCCATGGACACTCCGATGAACAGCACCTTCACCAAGCCCATGGTAACCGTCAGTGTGAACTGGTCCTGCTTGGTCTCCGCAACACCGGCTCGTTCGTAGAGAGTGGGCGCGTAGAAAAGCACACCTTCTACACCGTTGATCTGCTGAGCAACGGCTATGAAGAAGGCCAGCCAGACGGTGTGGCGGTATTGCTTGGCAGCACACACGACACTCTTCCAAGTGGTTGCTTCGTAAAGCTCTGCTTGCTTGATGTCTTCATCGATGGCATGCACGACTGCATCGATGTCCGTTCCCGGCGGGTGCGTCCTCGTCAAGACACTCTTGGCCTCCTCGGTCCTGCCCTTTGTGATCAGCCAGCGCGGCGACTCTGGCATGAAAGTCAGTGTGAGGATGATGAGCAAAGACGGAAGGAGGACGCCACAGAGGAGCATCACTCGCCAGTTGACGTTCTCTGGCAGATCCTCGAAGAGCCAGTTGACGAAGAACCCCAGCACGATGCCCATGTTTGTGGAGATCTCCGCCCAGGTCGTCAACTTGCCGCGGTGCTCCGCAGGCGCCGTCTCCGAGATGTACATCGGATCAATGGACATGCCGATCCCCATGCTAATGCCCACAAGGCAGCGACCAACTAAGATCATCTCATAGGAGACTGAGAGAGCGCAAAGGGTCACGCCTGCGATTCCCACAAACTGTGTGGCCAAGAAGTTGCCCCTGCGACCGAAGCGGTCTGAAAGCCAATGGGCGACCATGGCTCCCAACCCCGCAGTGATCGGCACGATGGAGAAGAACCATCCCACCTGCACGTCCCTCAGATCGAAGCCCTCGCGCAAGTAGAGGGCGACCCCTGAACTGACCCCGATGTCGAAGCCGTAGTCGATTGAGTTCAAGGAGGCTGTTGCTGCTATCATGTACATGTAGCAAGGAATTGAAGCTGTATTTGAGCCCGGCATCCTGGCCGCGACTTTGCCCTGTGACGTGCCATTCAGCACGTCGTCCTCGGCGTTTTGCGGAAGGGCGCTTGCGTTCATCTCGCACTCGCAATCTTCTGCGCTCTTCTGGCGCCGGGCGCGGGGGGGGGGAGGGGGGGGAGGGTGGGGGAACGAAGCTGGGGTGCCTGAGCCGCGCAGTCACGGAGCAAACGGACGGCTGAAGAGGGGAAGCAAGAATTTCAGAGGTTCAGTTGAACTGTTGAACCCGCAAAGCTTCCCAAGGTTTAGATGCTTTGGGTTCGCAAGCACGGGACACTGAAACCTTGTTTCAGAATCAACTGCAGTGTTGAGGGACGCTGGCATGACTCTTACGCAAAGCCGGCTGCCTTTGCTAGTGGTTCAGTGCCCTTTGCAAACCATTGAGGTGACTTTCTGAGAGGGGATCGAACTCATTGGGATGTCCAGAGTCGAGGACAAGGAAAGCACCAGTTGCGACTGGAAGACTGTGCGGCAATTTTAACAATAGAACAGTACAACAATAGAACAACATAAAACAGAAATGTGCCATCATTAAAATTGAAACAGGGTGTTGGCCCCCGCCTTTCGACCGAAGCTGCCTCGTCAGTGGCATCTGCCCGCAACGTCTCCTGCCTCAGCCAGTCGGCGAAGTGCGCCCAAGCACAGTTGTGAATCCCTGAGCTAAACCCTAAACCCTAAAGCCTAAACCCTAAACCCAATGGAACCTCAAACCCAAGCCACAAGTTCGCTAAGACTACTGACTCCAGGTCTGGTCATTCCCTCGCCAATCTCAGACTTCAGAACTCGAACTACACCTCGACATGCGAAGTCCAGACCCCAAGAGGCACATCAAGCCTACCTTCAAGCCTACGATCAGCTCACCCTGGGTCTAGGGGCTTGTAGAATCTAGGGGTTGGGTAATTTAGGGCCTAGGGTCCAGGGTTTAAGGTTTAGGGTTGGGCGATCTTTTGGAGAAGTGACCATGTAGCCTAAGAAGCCCCAACGACGACTACCGCCAAGCGTTGAGGAGCCTGGCCAAGCACATGCACATCCTGGACCAAATGCTCACACGCCCTTTCTGCTCTTCTGCTCTGACGTCACTTCATCCGTACTCGCCCGGAGATAATCTTCCATGCTGGCCGCCCCTTGACGAGGCGTGGTCCTGGAACTGACTTTGTCAGAAGGATTCAGTAGTCTGGGAGCTGTTTGCTTGCGAAAGGTGCTCAGGTTAGGCCTTTCTTCTTGGGACAGGGACAGGCGTTACGACAAGTTGCCCCCTGAAAAAGCACCCCACTCTTTGGAACCCCATGACGAGCCTCGGCAGAAGTTGCGGCTGCAAGACGGACAGGCCAGCTCCTGCAAGGCAAGGGCGGGAAGCACCTAGGGAACCTTACGGGGGCTGAGGCGTACATGAAGCTCCACATGTTTTAGGGAACCATGCGACGGGCCCGGCAAGTGTAACTTTATACGAGAATCTCGTACAACGCAAGAACCCCGAAAGGGGTACAGATTCGCCTTCATTCGCTCAGAATTAGAACAACCCCTAGCAAAGCTGAAGGTTCCACAGATCTGCGGGTCTGGGGGACACGGGGCTTCCAGTCGTGACCCGTTCGAGAGAAGCCGTCAACAGAAAGACGTGCCAAAGCAGGTCCTTGTTCTCGCCGCACGCCTTGGATGTCACTCTAGGGGCGCATGCAACACGTGCCCAAGTTTCCATGGACGACAATGCAGGCGCCAGAACAATATGCCCAAAATTCAAACATACTTTGGGGGAGTGTAAACGATGCCTCTACATAAGGCGGATAAGGGGACGTTGTTGGCAACTACCAATTTAATCCTACTTCCTATTATGCAAAAGTAGACAAACTTAGGCCGTGGAAAAAGAGAAGAGCCAAGATGCTGGGATCCGGCCTTCAAAGCCCAGAAGATCGTGAGGGTCTTCGGCCACACGTTCCAGGTACATTTTCACCTCAGTCAATCTTCCTGCTTGACCGGTTTCCTGGGATTCTGTGATCGGTTCTGGAAAATATGATTCTTGTGGTTCCGATTACATTTCGGAGCCTTATATGTCGGGCATTCCAACAGGGTTTAGAGAACCCCATGCCTCCTCACAACCCCCTTAGGGGGGCAGCTTTGGTGGCTTTGGGGTTTCGGCAAATGGCCGTAGACTTCTACACCTCACCTTCACCCCTGAGCCCTAGAGATTCCTGCAAACCCCCAATTCGACGGGTTGCATTGAGGGCGCAGAGAACTTCAAGATGTATCCCGCTACAAACTCAGGGCCTGGCCAGCGAAGACTTTGTGCCGTTGCGCTTGCGGTACAGTGCCTCATGAACCCAGTGCAGTACAGAACGCACGCTTGTCAATGGAGGTGGAGAGGTGGAGGGGTCACAGTTCGAGCTTTCTCGATCTTTTTTTTCACTCCCGCATAGCTGGCCGAACCAGGGTCTGTATGGGTACATTGATCTCTCTTGTTTAAAGCTTGGCAGGGTTTCGGGGCATCGATGCTCGCACCGTGGATGCCATGACACGCACGGTTTCTGCGACTCGGGGTGCCCATGTGCATGTGCGCCCTTGCCATGTCAGACATCTGCGCTGCCTCTGCCTTGAAGCCTTCCACAACTCTCGCCCGCCAAGGGATCCTAAAGGAGAAGCGGTCTAAAACCTGTAGCACCGGACCTCTACCTGGACCTGCTCAGCGTCCCTCAACCCAAAGCCAACGAGATCCTCAGCATAAGGGGTTTCCGAACAGCCCTATATGCCCCTAAGCTCTCTCACTTCCCCAACCACCTTCAAACCTATCATTTTCGGTCTCTTTTCTGGCATGCTTTGGGCATATTGTTCCCTAGACAGCGTGTCTACACTGTGTTCTAACGTGCAGGGTAAGCGGGGGTAAGCAGATGTGGCCACGCTCTCGACCACTGCCACACCCCTTTCTCGAAGCCTGCTCGCATTTTGCACGCTCTCGCCTAGTGGCGTGCATGACCTCGCTGTCCTCGAAACTGCCATCGCTTTTTGACGTCTGTGCTCGCGAAAATCCGAGACTGCCGTCGCTTTTGCGCGACATGCAAAGCTGTCCTGGCTTTTGGATGTCTCTGTTCGTCAGAGCAAACTTTATGCAAGACTACCGTGGGCCAAATGCAAAGCTGTCGTCGCTTCTAGACGTCTATAGTGTGGACGTGCTTACGCTTTTGATCAACTGGAATGCTTTGGCGTGTCCACATGGTCTCTCACTGTTTGGGGCCTACACTGGCACAATCTGAAAAAACATCGTGATACTCTACATATGAATCCTAACGGCATCATGCAAACTTCAGGCTCCCTAGCGGACCCAGCTGCCAGGAGCTCTCCACAGCGCGTACACAGCACCGCCACTTTGGCGTAGCTGTCCTAAAGGAAAAACAGGATCCAGGGGCTCATGATGGTTTAGCAAGAAGGGTCTTGAGATTCGGGAAGCCAAAGGGTTGTCGCGGAATGCTGAACTTCGGGACTTCTGGGCATATGTTCAGACATGCTATGAAGGAGCTGTTGCCTTTTCGGGACGCTATGTTGAGAACCTGCATCCCAAGAACGAAGGCGGCGCACCTTTAACATCCTTTAGCCACCCTGTTTAGGGTTTAGGGCTACGTTAGTTTCCCGGGAACCAAATTAAAATGGAGAAGGGGAATGAGGCAAAGGAGGTTTTAACGGATTCAGTGGTTATCAGGGGTGACACCCGATGTCTCCAGAAGCTTGCATCGAAGTCTGTTCAATGGGACGAGTTTGTCATTCACAAGGCAAGACAGGATTTCGATGCTTGAGCCAAGATGCGAAACGGCATCGAATGTCATTATCCCCCCCCCCCCCCCCCTCTCATCCCGAGGAGGATCCCAAACCCAACACCCCACCCCCTCGACCGAGGTTCCACGGCGCTCCCTCGACGGGGTGCTGCCAGACGCCGCACGGCGCCTCAAAAGCAGAAGAGGGTGAAGGCTTGGGACCTTGAAGTGAAGGGATTGAGTGGATGTGGCTTAAGGTCTTTTGGGTGCGTCAAGTCCGGGCTCTGTAGTACTCTGTAGAGCATGCATTCTTCCTGATGAAATCCCGGGTCTTCGGGCAACTCCCTGTAGCTTGACTGTTAGCTCGAGCCCTCGGGGTCGACAACTCACTCCGCAGTCACGCAGGAACACGATCACGTGTGTGTCTTCCAGTTGCAACGCCTTAGCTTCCAAAGTCTCAGCGCCTCCATTGTGGGGTAAGCCGCGCAACACGGGCCCCGCCGCCGCCGGCACGAAAAGCCCAGTAAGCCACATGGCCTTCCCTAGTAACTACACCCCCAAATCCATGCATCCTAAACGGCCGAACTCTTGGAGCCTGGTGAAGTTTAGCCTGCTGCAAATCTTAAACGTGTAGTAGCTAGGGGCTTGATGAGCCAGGGCGGCCGTTACTTTAAACTCTAATGAAACCGAGCTTTTTGTTTTTGTGTGTATCCAAGCGTTGAAGGTGTTGAGATGATCTCTCCCCCGCCTTTCGGGTCAGGAGGCTGTCGCCGAGAGTCCATACATGTGGCCGTGGAGCCCTTGCAGCATCTTGCAACTAGGTAGCACAGATTCGAAAAACCACCCTGTTGAAGCTGGACTTGCGGACTGCCAGAAAACGCACTTCTACACCCTCAACCGTCTATATAAGCAGTCACAAATTTGGAAAGGGAAGCTAACTGTCATAGTAGATTATAGCAAATGAATGGCTGGGTCAGTAAAGCTCATGACTTGGACTGGGGCATCATCGTCACGGACACAAGAAGAGATCTGTGGCTTGAGTTGACAGCCCGGTTCTATGCAAACAACAGCTCTTCCTCCGGTTTTCGCCAGGGCTCGTCTGGCCCATTCTTGGGCGGAAAATTTGTGGAGCTCACGGCTCCCTCGAAATCCTACACCATCCTAAGCCCATACGAGGCCTCGACCCCAATATGGGTGCAGAGTCCCCGAGTGCATGTCAATGCGGTTACGCCGTTGCCGTCGGCTTGCGCGCTCGAACGCTCTTTGGCATGGAGGCTCGGTACTTCTGGATCACCTCAGGTCTTCAACCCAAGAGGTGCAGCAGCGAAACCCAGCAACGTGAGAAAAAAGGCACGTCTGGACCCTCAAGCCCACGAAAGCTCAGCACATGTGCCCTAAACCTTCTCTCTCTCGTCCCTCTCTGTCAGAGAGGCACTCGAAGCGTCAGGCCGACCCTAAAGCCAAAAACCCTTCTAGGGCGCGAAGCCTCGTCGTGGAGCCTTGCTCCGTGCTCGCTGCACCACTTGCGCTTGGCCTCCAGCTCGAGGCCCTGTGCCGGGCAATCGGATTTTGGGGCTTAGGCCCCTTTCCTACTGTTGGCTAGTGGGGGAAGGCAGGATCCTTTATAACTGCCACTCTTACTCTTCAGTCTTTCGCAAGTCGCCGACAAGAAGTTCTTCCAAGGCCTTCAGGGCGTAACGATCGACCTAAATGCTGCAAGCTCTACTCTATTCAACCGTGTCTCTGAGATTGCCCAGCTTCCAATGCTTGAAACCATCATCCCAGAAAACAGGGAAGATGTTGGGGCTGTTAGCCTTAAGCTTTGCAATATCCAACGGGGCCCGCCAATTTGCATGGCTGCCCCCTGCTTGGATGTGATAGGTAATCAAAAGCACTCTGGAGCTCGCCTACTGCTTCTCCATCGCTATGAACCCTGCCTTGAGCCCCTATGAGTTGCTGCCTGAAAGGTGAACCGAAGGAACTCCGTACCTCAGTCTGCTGGTCGACGACTTTCAGCACTGCAGTGGAGCCCATCTCTCGATTGGCAATGACGACCTGGCAAAAAGGACCTACATACCTCGTCTGCAGTCGTGGTGACGTAGCTAGCTGGGTGTCTGCGATGACAGCAACAGGAAACCCTTCTAGCACCTTTTAGCCAATGTCTGTCTCATAGAGTATTTCTCGCCAGCCCAGGTGTTAAACCTCATGTCGTTCTGAGTTTCGGGCTCCACGGGGCTCACAAGTTACCTCTGCCAGGCAAACCCCACAGTTTATGAACAACCCCCTCCCCCCCCCCCACCCCACACCCAAGCCCAAGAATGCACAAAATCCCTTCCCGAACCTCACCCCCCCCCCCCCCCCCAACTCCGGAACCCGAACACCTATGTGAACTGTCAAGATCGAGGGCCTTCCCAGTGACCTCACAGCGAAGGTCGGAATAGGCCTTTGGTCAGTCAGTGTGCTCGTGCTTGTGTGTTTACTGGAAGCTTTGTGTTACAGCTCATTGTCACCTCTTGCTCTAGGAGTGGGGTCAAGAACAGGTCGCTCACCAAGCCTCAGCCCAGAAACACCAGAGCTCATGAAGCTAGCAGCGCCCCGAACTCCATAAACTAAAGCCCACGCGCTCTCAGCAACTGCTCCTAGATCACCCCTTGCCCCATATCCCGGCCTTGATGCAGCCCCGGATGCCTCTTCAGGGGCATCGACAAAAAGAGTTGGGGCTGGGCTTTTGGTTTAGGGTTTTCGGCCTGGCATCTAGAAACTTAGGGGTTGGGATCCTTTGAAAAGATCGGACCCGGGGATATTAGGGCACCGAGTTCGCAAAATCCTTACTATGAGGCCTGGCGGTTTTAGGGTTTCTGGCCCTTGGAAACTCGCACGCAGTGCCGGAGCTTGCGGAGGGCCTTTTTGCAGTCCGTGCGTGAGAGGTTTTTGGGGGTTTGTGAGGGTGTGAGGTTCGGCCTCCGTTACATCCCGAGAGGTTTGCAGACTGCTGGAACTGTCCAAGCGCGTGAAGGTCTAACAAAACCACCTAAATTACTGCGAGTTCAGAGCTTTTTCTAAACCTCGGATACTTGTATTTGGTCAGGTCTCGATTTAAACTATGGTCCTTTCTTGGGGTACCCGGATACCCTAGACTCTAGACATAAGCCGCCATATAACTAGAACAGACCATGCAGCTTCTGGCTGCAGGCACCACCCCTTCCGGTCGTTTTTCTTGCACGCTCTCGCAGGCACAGGGCTCAGAGACTTGAGGCTTCTGACCTTTGCGACAGCAGCACGGCCAGGGCATAGAGGTGCCCCTGGCCAATGCCCTCCCCCACAGTGTTGGGGTAGATACCTGGGCTATTAGGGTTTAGGGTTTAGGGCTTAGGGTTTAGGGCAACCCTAACCAAGCACCCCGAAAGGCCAAGCTTAAAGCTCCCAAAGTGTCTGCCCAGGTTGCCCAGTGCCCGAATCTCATGGGGGAGGTAAACTCCTGACCCTTAGCCCCAACCCTTACACCCGGGGTATCTTGAGGGCGCCTTGGCTCTACTTCCCCTTAGAACCCGCAGCAGCATGTTTTTCACCCTTGTGCAACAAGCTCATGTTATTCACCCTATAACCCCTAAACGCTTGGGTTTTCTATAACCAAAACCTAGCCGACTTAACCTATAAGCAACCAAGACCAAGAGACCCTGGAGCTGTGCGGCGTTGATGTGGCAGTCTGCCTTCTTGCTTCTCTTTAGGGTTTAGGGTTTACTGGGTGTAGGGGGTTTTGTTTCTGGGTTCAGGGTTGAAGGGTTAGGCCGGGCCTGAACATGGTCGAGCGCTTCGCGCCGAAAACCAAAATGCTTAAGAAACATCCTCTTATACGAGGGGGGGTTGCAACTACCAGAAAGAAGCAGCCCTCCAACAAAGTTGCGGTCTCCTTGGGAGTTTTTGCAAGGACGGGCCACAAGAAGGAAGATCCACAGCTTCATAGTCAAAGAGACTCATTCATTGCCCTAAACCCTAAGCACCAATCCGCTGCTGTTGCTACAGTATTGCAAGCCATAAAAGACTGACTGCCAGGTAGCCAGGTCCCCTGGCCGTGCTTCGCCTCCCTCCCTCACCTCAGAGGATGGGAGGACGGGAGGCTGGTAGAGAAAACCGTGCATTTTTGCCAACCATTGGTTGAAAAGGGCGTGCGTGGCTGCCAGAAAGCATGAACTGGAAACACCGCCCTTCACATCTTCGAGCAGGACATGCGCAACACATGCGCAGCATAAACGTGTCGCTGATGGTTTGCTGGACCGCCTCTTCCGTTCAAGCGCCAGTCGGTGGGATCATCTTTCATTTCAACATATTTCAACCGCAGGCAAGCGGTGGCAAGTCTGAAGCTAGTATCCGAGACATCTGACGTGCTAGCAATGGTGTGCTCATGCAGATTCCTGGGCCGGTGCTTTGCATTGTCAATATTGACGCCCTGTAGGGGCCATACACAAGATTCTCGCACTTCTTCTCGTATCACATCACGGGCTGCAGCATCACGAACTTATTCGCATTATGGCTTTAAATGATCATGGCTATGTTGCAACAATGACGGCAACGGGTGAGATGATATTCAGGCAGGAAGATGGACTCACTACTCAAAGTCATGAGTACACACGCACACACGTCACAATCATGGCAGGGGCGATCCCTCCATGCCCAGTAGACTCCCAACACACCAGGACTCCACCCGTGCACAAATATCATTTTGTTCCGGTGGACCTATTTCCCACCAGGCCCTACGACATGTCATGTTACATGCACATGTCGACGACTCCACGATTCTGCAGCAATTTCAGGTGTCCAGTCTTCCACTGTAGGTCGAAACTTTAGTCCTGTCCATGCATGATGAGCTTTTGAGGGAGAGCCTGCGCACGCAACTTGAAGACATGCTTGCCTGAAACCTGAGCCAGAAACCTTTTTTTAACCCAGGACTGCTGAGCCAGAAACCTAAACCCTAAACCCTGAACCCTAAGTATAAAGGGTATATAGAGGTACCCTCTAGAATCCCTTAAAGTATATATATATATATATATTACTAAACAGCCCGAAGCCCTGAAAAAAGCCACCCACGCCCCCTCTGCTCTCCCAGCGGCCACTTGCCAGCCCGGCAGCGGAGGGACTTCGGGGCCCGGGGCCTCCCGAGCCTCAAAAGCACTTGGGCCGTGGAGATCCTCAGCTGTTTCGGGGTTCAGGGTTTAGGTTGTCTAGGGTTTAGGATGGTTTAGGGTTTAGGGTTTAGGGCGTTTAGGGTTTAGGGCTCAGGGTTTAGGTTGTCTAGGAGGGGTATCCCCTGAATTTTCGGGGGTTTCATATTCCTTCCGGGCTCCTGCCCTTCTCAGGGCCAGAACCTACTGTTTGCTTTGCCGCAAGCCTATACAGCTGGCATTACTTTGGAGAAAGAGAAATCAACTCAAACAGGTTTGTCTATGAAAAACCCAAGCGTTTGGGGCCTTTGGAGCTTGTTGCACAAGGAAGAAGAAGCATGCTGCTTCGGGTGTGTAAGGGGAAGTAGAGCCACGGTGCCCTGCAAGATGCCCCGGGTGTCAGGGTTGGGGCGAATTAAGGGTCGGGAGTTTACCTTCCCCATTCGGGTACTGGGGAGCCTGGGCAGACACATTGGGGCTCTAAGCTTCCTAGGCCTATTTCGGGAGGCCGGGCTGTTCATTGGAGGCTGACAGCTGTTGAACTTGTAGTTTGTTCGTTTCCTGGTCTAAATCGAATATAGAGTTTCACTTTGTTATCCCCGGGAGGGGGGAGAGGGCGGGGGTCAGGGCGCTCGCACTGAAACACTTGTCGGGCGCTACTTATTTCCATTCCGACCTCTACCCTTAACCTAAGCCTTAACCCAAAACATTGAACCGAACTCCGGAACACCATCCCAGAACACAGAGGGATCGAAAACAGCAGTTCGTCAATGAAGGGGGTTAATTAGGGTTTACGGTTTAGGGTTCAGGGTAAAATTAGGGTCCAAACTTTGGGTGCCCAAGATATCAAGCTCCGTATGACAACGCCCCAGAAGGGACAACTGCCCAAATAGCAGCTGCGGATCTGTGAGCCATGGTAGAGGCACCCAGGCACAACGCTCGCACTCCTTGGCTTAGAGGAACGACCCAAAGCACTCGCCGCAAAAGATGAGCTCTATTGAATTGCTATCCCTGACCGTGAGACCTAAACTCCATGAACTTCCCAGGCCGCCGAAGTATCTCCCCCCCTGGCGACCAGCCCGGGCCAATCCGAGCTTCAGAGCTTTGCAGGGCCAGGCAGCCAGCGTGCTCAGGCTCAACGGAGGCCTGGTGGGAGGCCAGCGGCACGCAATATTTCAAGCATCCAGGGAAGAGTAGATTGAGGTCTGCGCGGGTCGGGAAGTTTGTGAGGCAAGAACCCTCCTCACAGCAAATCTCTATACGCCCTGGGACGTTTTTTTTGAGCACGCTCCGGAAACCAGTCTTCCTCGGCTTTGCCTCCGACTCGCTGGCGAGACTTGAATGTGTCGAAACCCCTCACAGCTCTAAAGCTTTCTGAACTAGAACCCCTGAAAGCATGCCGTAGCGCTGCTTGACCCTGCAATTGGCTAAAATCAACTTCAGGGACGCTGACGCAACCAATGAAATCAAGAACCCTCAGCCCTACTGGTCATCCCGAGCGGCCTGGAGGAAGGCCGTAACCGAGTGGCCCTTGACCTCAACAGCTTCTTTGGGTGTGGCTCTGTTTAGGAAGCGAATGGGCGTGGAGCATACCTGCAACAAACAAGTTAATCAAGTGTACCCCCCTTGCCCCACACCACCTCTCTCTAGCATCCCGAACGGCCAGCACACCAGCGCAAGTTCCGCGAGAGTCTGAAACAAGACAAAGAGATGCACCTTTGATACAGTATGGCACGAGAAACACTCACACATGTAAGTTCAGAACAGCGGCCTGTCCCACCTCCACACAGCCCTCTGCAGATGTGGGAAAGACACTTTCCCAGAAACAGAGCAGCCGCATGGCAGAAGGCGCGACAGTGAGCCCCGTTTCCTCATGGAGCTCCCGACTGCCCGCGATGAACCTGACACGAAAGCAGCTTTCGGAAGTGGCCAGGATCTTTTGGGTTCGGGGCTCGGGGTTTCGGGTATTTAATCTGGCTTTTTCCACCTCTTGAGGGTTTAACTAGGGTTGAGGGGTTTCCGGGGCCTTGTCTTGTGAGGGATTCATAGTCATGCTATGCTCTATGACATTCAAGACGGCCGAGATGCAAGGCCTCACCCTCATCGACGCCACCCCCTGGAAAGACCCAGCATCTGGGGAAGGTGCGCATGTGGGAAGCTCGCTGCGTAATCAGCAGTCGCCCATGAGGATCCTAAAGGTTCTCAAACAACCCTTTTGCTGGAACCCTAAACCCTAAACCCTAAACCCTAAACCCTAAAACCTAAACCGGCCCAGGATCTTGAGGAAGGACAACAACTGCCAGCTTCACATGTGGTGCTCGCGGTGGCAGAGCGACCCCTCTGGCAGTGAGCTCCGCGACAGGGCAGTGCACCGAATGACCCCAAGTGGTCCTCGGCCGACATACAGGAATGCACAGCACCGTCCACACACACACAGACACCGAGAACATGTCCGTCTTCAGAACCAACCATCTAAATTGTAACAGCCATGCGATGTACAACTCAGCGTCACGGAGTTGGGTAGAGAGGGAGCAGCTCGACCAAACCAAGTCCGCTGCTGAGCCTTATTGTCCTGGCTTCGCGGAACTCGCCCTATCGCCTCTAGCTGCACCTCGCCGGGGGAGGACTCTTCCATCAGGATCTCCTGGTCATCAAAAAATAGCCCTCTTCTGCGATTGGCGCTCCCAAGTGCGTCCCAAACGCTCTGGCCATATGGGCATGGTCTGGCTGAGGATCCGCTGAGGATCGTGACGCTGGCGCACTTCTCAGCCATGCGTGCGCGGCTCAGCAAGCGAGCGCCTCGGAACATGTGGCGCTGGCCTCATGGCTCCTGCAAACAGATCGGCGCAGCGCCATGCAGCGTCAACTCAACGACTGGCAAGGAACCATTCAGTGCTATGACGTTCTGCGCTGCATCCCCGGCTGACTGCTAGGTCACGTTTGTAGGAACACCCAGCAGTGAAACGTGCGACCTGCAACAAATACTTGGATGAGCCTCGGGAACTGCGGCACGCGCGCATGTCGCGTGAAGAGTGTCTACGTCAGAATGCAAGCACCTCATGGTGCAAACCCCCGCCTGTTCCACTCTGCATCGCGTTCTGGTAGCTCACACCCAGTGCTTCAGCATCCATAATCGCCTGTACGAGATTTCTAGGGGGCCGACGTGTTGGGGAACTGAGCCCTGAGAACAGGGAGAGAGGTCATGCGCAGCAATGTGGTCCCTAAGGCCCTCCCCGGAACCTGGAGTCCTACGTGGAGATGTGTCGGACGCGTCTCGCCTGCGTGGCACCCTGGCTGCCATAGGGCAGCAGGGGGTGGGCCGCATCGCCAAGCAAAGTCACCTGCGAACTCTGAGGATGCGACACGTTTGGCGTCTACCCGGAGCCTCATACTGGGCAGCCTCTCATCCAAGACCCCAAACGCCGAAAATCGAAACACATAACCCTAAACCCTAAACCCTAATGCATACCCGAAACCCTAAACCCTAAACCCTACCCTAAACCTGGCCAGGCCTGGCCAAAGTCGAAGGTCTCCAGAGGATCTCGGTCGAAGAGCGCCCAGCCGATGATGCTGTCGCTCCGCTCCTGAAGGCCAGTCGTGTGGAGGTTTCGGGTTAAGGGGTGTAGGGGTTAGGGGTTTTGGGGGTGTAGGGGTTTAGGGTTTTATGGTTTAGGGGTTTAGGTTTTAGGGATAGTGGACTTTAGGGTGGTTTGGGGGTTCAAGGGTTTCCGTAACTGGTACGTAGGGAGGGAGGGGCGAAGGGTGGGGCCTTGAGCTGTGCCTCCATCCCCGGGAGCCTTGGCTGGCTTAGAGGAGCTTAGAGGGTCTTCGGGTGAGCTGGAAACCCCACCAACCTGCCTTCCCGAGCCTTCCCGAGCCTCTCTGGCATTCCGCTGCGCCCTAAACGCACAACCTTAACGCCTGGTGAAGTCTGGGGCTTTTTGGGATGTCTGAACGTCTTAGGCAGGCTTCAGGGCAACTTGAAGAGAGGAGTTTTTGAAACACACGTGAACTGCATGTCCAGGATTATTATATTTTATTTGATCATCTTGTGTTGCGACGATGTTCTTGTATGTTAACATTACAGCGTTATGATCTTATTCGGCCAGTATACCTCTAACAATTCTCCGTTCAGCCAAGACACCGCCATCTGCAAGGGCGTCAGGCCTTGTGGGACCAGGGCTTGGCACCGAAAACCCGCAACAACCAAGTCCCAACTTACACGTCCATCGCAAGCCCCAAGCCCTAAACTCCTCTGGTTCCTGCCCGAGGGTCTTGAAACCTACACTTCAAGAGCGTCGGTCGAATGCCGGGCTTGACATCATCATCCTCCTCATCCTCATCCTCATCCTGCTCCTCATCATCATCATCATCATCATACTCCGCCTAAGTACGACGGGCATGGTTTAAAGATTTAACGTTTTCATCGGTGTAAGGGGTCAGGAGGCGAGGTTTGGGGCTACAAGTACAGGCCCTTATCTGGCCAACCACTGCTGGGCCCATGGCCAGCAAAGCTGTTGGCACCCATTCGCTCCAGCTCCTGCAATCCGTGATTCTTGCCCTTCACCCCTTTTTTTGAGACCAGGGAAATCCCAGGCTCTTTTGTTGAACCCAAACCCGGAGTATCAGCTGGGACGTCCCAAACCTCAAACTCTTTCAAACAAAGCTTGCCTGGACAGTCTCTCAACCTCACAACACTCAGCGCCAACAAACCCAAGCCCCAATCGGCCTCTTGGTTGGTCATGATTGCATTTGACCCATCCGTCACCACCCCTCTATGTTGGTCTTAAACCCCATGCCCTTTTGCCTCTAGAGGGTCGGGGCTCTGACCTGAAGGCAAAGCTTGCGATCTACACGACCCCAAGAAGCCTCGAGACACGTGAACCAGCTGTCTCGAAACAAGTCCCCCTCTGGAGGAATGACCTCTCCGGAATCCCCCCTGTCGCCTCACGGATGTCCTGGCGAGCAGCGCAACGATTCTATGCGTAGCTTGGCGGAAGCTTTGGGCCTGAAGTTGTGAGCCTACTTTAGGGTTTAGGGTTCAGGGTTTAGATCTTTGTGGGAAGATGAGCATGACGATATACAGTCATCAGCAGCACCCAGGCACACGGTGCTCAATACCATCGAGAATACCATTTCGTTCAACGTTTGCAGAGGTTCTTGAAAACATCGAAAGGCCAATGCAAGGCTCCTTGCTGGGGCTCGTTCTCTGATTTCTGATCAATCTCTCCTATAAAAGACACTGATCGTGGTCTTGACAAAGCCAGTTTCTTGGGATTCTACAGGAAGGGCGCGGATCCCCCCAACACCTTCACCAGAAGCGACCCTAACCGTATAACCCTAAACCTTGAAGCCAAAGCGCTAGGTACCCCTTAAGCTGCCTTTTCTCCTGGCTTCCCAAGAGAGAACTTCGGCGATGCCCGAAACCCCAAGGCCTCCGATCGATGACCCTAACCCTATACTAGCATAGCTCATCTTCTAATCTTCAAATCGTCCTCCAGCTTGGCCAAGGACGTCCAACTCTCCACGCCTCCTGGGTGTGGCCTCTCACAACGAATGCTTTCGGGGAAGAAGGTCAAGGGATGCTAAGGGTTCTCGCACAGTCTCAGCCAAATCCTCCAGGCTCGAGATGACGCGATGACTTTTCGGACAGTCATGAGGTTTTTGTACGTGGAGGTGGATCTGACTGGTGCAGCTGGATACTATTCTTTCGACATGTCAATGTCTAAAGATGGTATCCAGGTGCAACAGGCCGATGATGGTCGGGTTGAGGGTGGGGGCTGGCATGGCTGGCCCATTTTGTGGAACCAGGATACCTTGTTTGCAGCCTCCGAAGATGATCCCTCAAGAAAAGAACACCTGACCCTCCCAGCCTGCAAGCTAAACTTGCAGAGAACCCTTGAGAAGCCCGTGCAGCTGGACAGAGGGCCACGCAGTGGCCTTTTTTCTCTACCAGGACGCCCAAAATCCTTCCTACTTCCAGGCCTCGAAAAACCCAACCACTGAACCCTAAACCATGCAAAGGGTTTAGGGTTTAGGGCTTCGGGTTTAAGAGCCCTCAACCCCTGAACCTAAATACCCTCAACAGCCTAAAGGGTTAGGAAACCCATCACTTCCGGCCTGAGGAAACCATGTAAAGGGCGTAGGGTTAAGGGTTTAATAATAAGAGCCCTCAACCCCTGAACCCTTAACCCCTCTTTGCCACTGGACTGAAGGCGAACCCTAAACCCTAAACCCTCTTGGCCTGAGGGTGCAGAAGCCCCAGTTGCAGTGGAAACGTCCCTGCTCCCTCAGCTTCTCGCCTTGGCTGCGAGGCGATCGCAAAAACGCTTGGGGTAGCACAGTAACCATACAATAATGACAACAACAATAGTAACAACAAAAGAAGAAGAAAAGTATACTCATAATGATTATAATGCTAATAGTAGTAATCATAATAATCATAATCATCATCATCATCATAATTATAAGGGCACCTTGTTTTGGGTTGGTAACTTTAGACGGGAAACTTGAACCAAAAACAAGGGAAAAATGGCACCACTGGGCTTCCAAAGAACGATGATCGTGGGTTCACGGTTTGGGCCATCTTCTCCCAACAAGAAGAACTGGTGACTTTCTTGTTGCGGGGAGAAGTGTCGATCTTTGTTGGTTTTGTCTGGGGATTTGATTGGGCCCTAAGGGGACGTATAGAAGGTGGCGGGCCGGAGGTAATCCAGCGGCTTGGGACTTACAAGTTAGGGTTTAAAGAAAGGGAATGTGTGGATATGGCTCGAAGGTGACCGGTGACCTTCGCCGCCTCCTCACTTGGGTCAAGGTGCGATTCTACTGCACAGGCCGAGCAGCTAATCGGATAGCAGATGAAGTTGCAGTTTTGGTCGCCGCACAGTGACACAGTACGGCCTTACAAAGCGGGAAGCTCTGAAAGTCACCAAGAAGCAGATGCCTACCATAAACCCTAGAATCCAAAGCCTACCTGAAGGGTGATGCTCATAGTGGCTAACAGACCCTAATTACTTTCAGCCCCACTACGCCGGCTTAGGGCTTCGGGTGCGTTCGGAATACTAGGAGGGGCCTCTTTATCTTCGTACCCTTGAATCTTCATGAGGGGCAGGCTCCCAAAACCCCCTCAACACCTGTAGAAGTGCGGCTGCGAGACCATCTGCACTCACACCATCAACCTCAGAGGCACAGAGGGACCCGGGGGGTTTTCGAGCTCCGGCTTCCGTCGCTCGCAGACTGTGGGCCTGGTAGCACCACGAGGAAGGAGACACCCTGGTGTCATTCACAATGGTACAATGGAGGGTTTAGGGTTTAGGGGTTTAGGGGTTAGGGTTTAGGGACGGTACATAGGTCAAGACATACGACTGGCTAAGGCCACCACACAGATGCAGACCCCAACGCCGAGTTCGAGAAATGGCATCATGCCTCCTCATGATGTCATGATGGCTCGGAACTCGCCATGTCCAAAAAGACGGTTGCAGTCTCTTTCACGCGTCACTCTCAACTGCTCTACCACCAGTACAGCGCGTCTTCCGGAATACCCATACCACACCATGTCCCAGTTCAACCACACAGCTGACAGCACCCAACACCTCGTTCGGGCAGAGCACGTTCGCGCACGCGCGCGCAAATACTAGAGCAAGTGCTCACCTGCGAGTTAGAAAGGCCGAGGTAGGGCCTGTAAACCCTCTGAAGCGTATGGCTGAAGAAGACCCCAAGAAAGGGAAAGATTGCCACATCCCAAAGTCCTGCTTAATTAGTTTATGGGGAGAAGAAATTTGTGGGAGGAGCTTGCTTCACCCGCAGCTAAGGCGCTTCGCAAAGACCCCTGTAGATGGTCCGGCCTGTATACCTGGCAGGACAGTGCGAGACGGTGTGGCTTACAGCAGACTGCAAACGAAGCCAACCTCGAAACGCCCCTTTTTCAAAAGGCCCGCAACTATGCGCCACCCTCTTCACCGCCCCCTCCGAACACGCGAAGAGGATTTGGGCACTGTTTAGACGGTCCGGGGATCTCAAAGGGAGCCGCTCTCCTGGTTTAAGCCACCGCCAAGCTTGGCTCTGTGGACGGGGCCCCCCTACAAGAGAGCAACCTCTAAACACAAAGCTGCAGAGAGGTGCCTTGGTTCCGCCGATCCTAGCAGACAAGCCCTCACTCGGCTTTTCAGTCCTCAGGCGATCTATCGGGTTTTGGGGTTTCGGGCTTTGAAGGCTTCGCGAACTCAGAGTTAAGCTTGTGAGGGTTTAGAGTTTCAGGGCTTAGGGGAGTTTTTGTGGTACTGCGTAGAGCTACAGTAATGCTTGTCGGAGGTGTGGGGGCGGGGAGTGTGCGCAGGGAAACAGGGATTGAGTCGCTTTGGGCAACACAGGGGTCGGGGGTGGTGCCACATAGGGTTCAAGGCGCGTGCCCGCGTAGGAGTGATGTTTCAGGGACCTGCAATGCCAACCTGCCCTTCGTCTAGAAACTCTAGGAGCCTTTTCCCGGTCACGACCTCGGGGAGTCACCACAAAGCTCTTTTGACATTGAGCCTGAAAAAGTGGGTTTTGGAAGCTGAGCTATCGGAAGCTGAAGTGTCCTTGACAGTCCCCACCCTCACACGCACACACACTCTGCGTCGAGGGGCCATCTGCGGCGACCAGGAAGTCGCAGCAAACCTGCCAAAAATTGACATCACCCAAAGCCATCGCACCAACGAACACGTAGGTGCTTTGTTCTCTGATTTAAATGGAGACACTACCCACAAGACCAACACTTGCACCACCTCCCAGAAAAGCTTGCATGGACTTGGGAACCACATCTTGTACCGTCGGACTCTATGAAGTTGGTTATTTGTGCCAGCCCCTGTAACCCCCAAACCCCAGTTGCCCCAGATGCCCGAGCTGTCCCACCCTATAAGCTGGAGACCAAGACGCGCAGGCTGCACAAAAATGGTCGCGCAACTTTAGCTCTAAGCTTTTTCACTTGAAGGCCCAAGCCAGCATTCATTAACTCTTGCCACACCACACTCCCTCTTATTAAGCCCTGACCCCAAAAAGCCCTCCGAAAAGTGGCAATGATGCAACTTGAATGGGCCCAACTTTTCTGCCAAGGAGCCGCAGGCTGCGGCGCCTTGGCGTCGGTGCTTTCAAATTGCAGCGAAAGCATTCCATCCTGGCGGAAGGCATGCAGGGGCTGTAGGGGTCCCAAAATAGGGGCACCCCTTGATTACACCCGAAGACTATAATCCTACTATAGGAACCCCAAAAAGGGTACCCCATTTTTCGGGAGCCCTCCATAGGGCTTAAGTCTTATCAAGGCGTGCTCTTCGGAGGGAAAGGACTATGTGTTGACTCCGGGCAAGGGCCCTTCGCGTCTTGGGCTGAGTGGCATGTCCGCGTGAGTTTAAACTTCTTGGCAGGAACCTGATTCCAGGCATCCGAGTAGACCGTGACCCCTGATGCTCAAAGCCTACCTCTCCCTGCTCGAAGTGCACGAAGCTGTGGTTGAGGATGAGGCGGTCCTCAATCATTTGTGTTGGCTCAGTGATGCTGGCTTCTGGCTTGTGCTCAACGACAACACCAAGCAATCACATCTGCTATGGGACAGATCCTGCTCTACCCACCTCCGGCTCCCTTGATCCCGGCTCTATTGCTGTGGAGGGACGAAAGAAGTGACCCCCAGGGGGTGTCCGGGGGTGTTAAGGTGCTAGATTAGGTGGCTGCTTAGGTGTAGACGGACGATGCCCAAGGCGTCCTCCCCCAGCAGGCGTCTGCACTCGGCAACGAGGGTGCTGTGAAACTTTGCCTGAGGTCCGTGTGAAATTTGCCTACTAAGTACAGTCAAGCAAGACAGAGGAAGAAGAAAACAAGGCAGAGGGTCAAAAGGCCGAACACTTGCAGGATGTCGGCTTGCCTTAGCCTTGCAGGATGGTTGTAGACTCGCCCCCCGCAAGCACAGCGCGACTCATCGTGCCCACTCAATTTGATTTGCCATGACAAGGCCTTCAAGCAACCTCTGTTGATGCGCTGACGTGGGAACGCGCCCCAGCCTCAACCGCTACATCGAGTGCCCCTGCACGCAGTCCGCAGCACAAAAAAAGTTGTGCAAAACAACAGTCCGACGCCAGAACATCCCCCCCACCAACACCCCCTCCGCCCGAACCATAACAAGCAAGGAAATCCCTCAACCCTCCCTGCATCCACGAAAGTATCCCTTCCATACTGCATGCTACTACTCATGCTAAACCCAAAACCCTAATCCCTAAACCCCTAAACCCCTGAACCCCTAAACCCCTAAACTCCTAAACCCTGAAACCTCCAAGCGCATTTCATCCTGGCAGCTCTGTGGGCTGACAGCTGCGGGTGAGGAGCTCCAGCTGACAACCTCTGTTGGCTCGGTGTTCTCGCGTGGCTTGGTTGGGGTTTAGGGGTTTAGGGCTTAGGGCTTAGGGGAAAAGGGTTCCCTTTGGGGTGTATCCTGAACCCCCCAACGAAAGGGTGCAACAGGTGTGGAGAACTCATCTTCGGGCTTCGTGAGGGTTTGGGGCGTCTTCGGGCAAACGTCTTTTGCCGTGTCCATGGTAGCACATACGAGAAACAGTTCTGAATAAACACAAAAAAGAGAAACAAATAGCAAACAATTAAATGAGTTCGCTCTCCCCGGTGCTGGATTTGGGGTGGCTGCGCCTTTGGGAGGCTGGGCATCTCTTCCACACTCTCCCTCATTCTCTCTCTCTCTCTCTCTCTCTCTCTGGGCGGCCTTGTCCCCTTTATCCCCACGGGTGAAAGGCTGTTTTATCTAGGGTTTCGGGCCAGGGCTTTGCGCGCAGGATGCCCAACAGCTTCCGAGGCGATGAAAATGCCATCGCTGGTGAAGTACTCTACCGCGCTGGTGAGGATGCTATCTCCTGGCAGTGCCCTGGTAGCTCCATTGTCCATCGCTTACTGGACAAAACGAGTGCCTTAAACAAGGAAGGGCTTAGGGTAAGGGTCCGGAATTAGTTTAAGCGGTTTTCTTGTTTGTCTTGTTCTGTCCTCAACACTAGTAATAGTAGTATTCTGATTATCATTATTATTATTAGTAGTAGTGGTACTACGACTACGACTACGACTACTACGACTATTACGACGACGACGACGACGACGACGACGACGACTACTACTACTACTACTACTACTACTACTACTACTACTACTACGACTACGACTACGACTACGACTACGACTACGACGACTACTGTTAGATAGGAATATATATATATATATAGATAATGTTGAAGATAACAAGTATTATACAGTGTGTATATATATATATATGCATACATACATACATACATACATACATACATACATACATACATACATTCTCCGATTCATTGCCTATTAAAATTTCTGTCTTATATACTGTACAGCACAGATTATATCATACGTTGTAGTGTTTATGTGTATATATATATATCATTTGTACTTCGTATAGAGGTACGCGGTCGCAGCCGCCAGCACCAGCGGCGCACAACCATTGCCCATCTGTGTGCTTTGCCTCGTCCTCGCCTGATTGCTTTGCCCCTCATGTTCAGTAATGGAGGCAATTTCACGCCTTCCCAGTCTCGAGGCTCTGGTGGTGAGCAATGGGCTGCCTCGTGCAATGCAGGCTCGGAACGTTTCGAGTCGCGAACTGCTGCATGGACACATTTGCTTGCGTTTCCGTCTTGGATAAGTTGGCAGCTTGTGTCTCTGAGCATTACCCGCTTGCTTTGCGCTGCTACCTTCTAGCCCAGAAACCAGAGAACTTGCTAGCGCGAGAGGCATCACTCTCAGAGGCTGCTCGCGCTGCTCGCGAGGCTTAAACTGGGGCCTGCACCCACGCGAGGATGTCACAATACTCAAGAGACATCTTCTCTGCTAACTAGAAGCAGAGGACGTGGGCTGGTGTTCTGGGACCTAAGTTTGTGGATACGGGCAGCTGCGGCAGGAGGAAACAAAACACCGACGAGCACAAGCCAGCGGAGCACTGCCGAACTCAAAGCAAGAGCACAAGGCCGTAAGTAGTGACGTGGTGCTGTGTCCAGCACCTGGACACGAAGGGACTAGAAACCACAAGTCGCCAGTCGTCGAAGACTTTCGCGCAGCGGCGCCAGCACGACACTGCTTGTTGCTGACTGTCATAGCCTGTAAGTAGGACAGCTCCTGCCGCGCAGTCTGACTGTCGTGGGCTTGCACTATGCGGGCCATGTGTTCAGCGGCGTTCTGCGACAGAACGTGCAGTTCACGAGGGAATCTACCTTCCATCGCGATGACGGAACAAGCATCCACGCATTTCCAGAACCAAGCATGACCAACATGTCTCCCCCAAGCCAATAAGGATTTGGCAGAGGTCCTGCCTTGCTTGGCCATCGCGGTCTCAATTTGCAAGACACACGGTCCAAGTATTGCCCAATTCCAGGCCAAAACTGAAGCTGCACGCCTTCTTGGCGCACGCTGCGGAACTTTTGAAGCAGTGGCGCCGCAATGCGTTTTTGCAGGGTGCCGGCTATGGTGAAAGGGTCTTTGCGTTTACTCCCACAAAGGCAGGATGTAGCATGCTAGTGTGCCACGATTCCTGAGGGGCGGAACCGCAATCGGTTCCTGGCATGATCCTATCCGGGTCGGACCTCCAAGGTGCATCCCACAGGTCTTCCGTTCAAGCTCGCGCGCGTGTGAGGTATTGCTTCTGCAAAGAACGAACGGCAGAGGTTTGACCCTCTGCTTCCAGGCTGGAAGAGCATCGCCGGGAAAGGCTTGGAGATGCGACACCAGCACAAGAGCCACGGCAAAAGATCCTTGGCCTTGTCTGGGGTCAAGCGCTCCTGCAACAAACCGGCTGCGCCGCTCGGCCCTGGCTGGTTGCGCCCAGCGAGGCGGGCAGCATGGGGCCTTTTCGATGCCGCGGTGCATATCCCCGCGCCATTGCAGGATATTGCTGGACTCAAGTGGCAAGCCGCACCGCCTCGCCACGTGAAACATGGCATCTGTCGCGCGCACGTAGGCTTCGTTGTGAGACTTGGCAAGAGCGAATTTATTAAGCATAGTGGCACGTAGCTGCTGCGGAAAGCGAATGTACGCTCCTCTCCTGCAGACCAAGTCTTGACGTTCAGGCCAAGAGAGAGCAGGACGTAGCCCTCACACATTTCACGTAGGCGCCGCCCGTGAACAACTTGAGATTCCATGGCTGCGGCACTTATAGAGACAGCACCTCGTGCAGGATGAGCCCGGCAGATCAAAGGAACGCAAACCAGCCTCCGAGAGATTTCTGCATTGATGGCCTGCGTTGGAGTCCGTCGCCATGAGGCGGAGGATGTCGCCTGCCGAGACATACGAAAAGCGCCCCCCAAGGAAGCGTTGCACCGAGCCTCCAGGAGTCGCTGGGTGCATACGTCGTCTGATTCTGCAGCTTTGGCTGCGTCTCACTTGGGCCAGCCGCTGGCGCTTTTGCATTGCTCCGACAGCGGCCGAGAAAGGATGTCAAATAGGTCACACGTTTTGGACTTGGGCCGGGGTTCAGTTCCCCTCTTCTCTTGCGAGCTGCGTCAGTTGTTCCACAATGCTGGCTGCTGACTTGGTCTGTCGTCGCCGGGTAAACCCTCGCTCTCTCCAGGTCAGGGCGCCATAACCATAGAGCTGTCGCAATTTGGGCAGGCGGCGTGTGGCGGCTTGGCGCCGGAGATCTGACGTGGATTTGGGGTCCTCTCTGGCGCGCCCTTGCCAAGCGCAATTTTTCCCATCAATACCGCAATGAGTGCTGCAAGACACTTGGCACACGAGCCCACGTTTGAGTGGCTTCTGCTGTGGCACCTAATACGGAGATCGCATCCAGCGGCTGGTTTTCAAAATGCTCTTCTACGATCTATGGAAATCGGCCTGCGCCTGGGCTGAGACCGATACTGCAACGCTTCCGCGCAGACTAACCCAGGCCGCGTGTGCACGACCTCGCGTGCGCCTCTGCTCTTCTGTCACTTTGGACGCCCACGCACGTCACCTTGGATCTCTGTGGCAGAAAGGAGCCTGTTAAACGACGGCGCGCCCTCTCGAAGTGTCGCAGTTGTTGCAGTGCAGTGCCAAGGTTGTCACCTTCTTGCGCTTTGTTGCTGTGGCACGAACTGTGAACGCCTCTCCATGAAGCTGCCGGCCTTCCAACGCCTTGTTCAACAACTGCTGCACATGCAGGGCTGCGTGAGGACCCTTACCGGCAGGCAAAGGCTCACACAACTGTATGGACTCGCGCTTCGCCTTCGACTTCGCTGCCTGCGGTTGCGCTCTGGAGCTCCTGATGCGCTTCAGCTCCGGACGAGGCAGCGCGTGCGCCTGTTCTCTTCTGCCTTTTTTGGCAGAAGAGGTCCCGCCTCTTGCTGCCTTGCTGCAGGCCTTGCTTGCCGGCTCCGCGCGTGTTAGGAAGTTGAAGCATGGGCGCGCACTGCGAGACACACGCAGGCACAGCCTGACAGGGGGACAGCGGCGGCTGCGCGTGCTTTTGCAACGCGTGCAGCTAAGACCACCACCACCTCTCATGCGCGGTAGCGGTGTCATTGCGGGCAAGGGATGTGGCTGCACGTGCCGGAGGGGCAGATTGAGGTGCGTGCGCCACTCTTCCGGCATGGAGTCATTCTTAACCGAAGCTTCAATTGGCTGTGACGATTTTCGCGACGCTGTGCGTCTCCGGTTCGCAGGGCGCCTTCCTTGACGCCGGCGCCGTAGCGTTGTGCCAGATCGAAGAGACGGGCATGGCAACTTGGTTGGAGCGGAACCCAAAACGGGCTGGCAACTCCGCGTTCACCTTCGTGACCGATATGTGCTCCTGTTCTTGGCAACGCTGCAAGAGAATGCAGAGCGCTTCATCATCAACAGACAGACAACGCCCTGACACGCGTTCTGCCGTTTGCTTTGCGGCGCGGCATCCTCCTGTGGGAACGGCGTCATCCAGCGTGCGGGGCCCAGCTCTTTCCTAGCCGGGCAATTGCATTGCATTTGACATGCTCCAGCGCCAGCAGAAAATGCCCCGCCATCCGACAGGGGAGCTGTTGCGAGCTGAGACACATGTTCGGCATCACCCTCTCGCAGCTGCTGCCGGCAATCGTAATGGGCGCGTGCGTGCAACAGTGCCTGCTCAAGCAGCACTCCCAACCCATGCCACCAAGGGGGCCATCCCTCAGGAATGCCTGACCCGAGTAGTAGTCGTGCACGACTTTAGCTGGTTGTCGGCACGAAGAATTGCTCTGCATTTACACTGATGGGGCCGTAGGACTGGCCATTTTGGGTGTTTTGCAGGCAGCAGTGTTGTTGGACTTTGCGCTCGTTTGGCGCTGCCCTGCCCTTGCCTCGCGCCCAGGTCAAATCCACAGCACTCCACTCCTCCTCCGAAATCCACGCAAAATGCTCGTTCGTTGCCTTCATACGCCTGGCAAAGTCACTATGTGTACTCTGTTGGAGAAAAACGTCTTGTCATTGCCGGGCCCGGGAAACATGAACTGCGCGGAAAGTACCTGTACCAAGCTCTTTTTGCTCCGTGGGACACGAACAAAGCATCAACGCACTGCCGGTAGAACGGTGATTTGCCACAGTTGCTCTCGGCAACCAGCACGGAACAACGGGCCCGCACTTCGAGCTCAGGTTTGCGAGGGTTAATCCGAAAAAAAACCAAAAAATACCTCAAAAAATGGGATCCCTTAGAGTAACCAGGACGCAACGACGTTCACCTAACGTCCAGAGTTTCGGCGGGCCAAAGACTTGTGTTCAGAGCTTTGACAAAATCCAGGACCACACACACCATCCCGACAAAGCACGCCCAAACCGAGAAATCTGACGTCCAGGAGCCTGAACCTGCCAATCGCCACGTCAATCTAAACCCCTACCTGCCTCCAAAGGGCTATTTACATCGGAAGAAGCAGCACAAGCAGGAATGAAAACCTCCCCCTGACTCTGAGGACTCAACAGACTAAACCCCGCAAACCCAAACGACGGCGCGCAAGATGCATGTAGGGAAAGCTTTAGGAGTTTCGTTCTACCCGAACGTAGGATGTAAGGGCCCGAAACCGTAAGCCCAAGGTCAGATAAGGAAAACTCAGCCCTTACAAGCCCCTACACCCGTTGAACCAGGACCCCTCATGCTAACACACCCCTAAACCTTAAACCCTAAACTCCTAAACCCGAAAACCCAGTCCTTGCTCCGGGGCATGGAATTTCTCCAAGGGGATGCCGAGGTCGATCAGCGCCCCTTCAAAAAGCTTGGAGAGCTCAGCGATTGGCCAGGTTGGGCCAGGATGGATGTCTTCATTTGCAAAGCTTTGGGCTTATCGGGCTTTAGTGTCTTAAGCAGCTCAGAACTTGTTGTAGGGGGTGGGGTTGAAAGGGTATGAGGCTAAGGTTCAAGGGAGGTGTGCAAAGACAAATGGTGGGTGTGCTGAGTCAGCTACAAGCCTGAAGCCCAAGCCCATGCCAAACACCAATCCCCCCCTCGAAACTCAGAGTCGGGCTTGTGCTGGCTTGCTGGTGTCATTGGAAGCCACATGGGTGGCCGAGGCACCCAGAGTAAACAAATACAACTAGCGTTTTTCCAGGATCTAGCTAAGCCCTAAGCCCCTAAACCCGGTCAAGATGCATTGCGCCCGCAAGCTCATCAAGCCTAGTGCAAAACCTACAAGTACGTGCAAACCCCAGAAGCCGTACATCCAGAGACCCATTTGACGCTTCTAGTCCAAACCTTACTGGCCCTCCAACCCCAAACCCTTCCTCCCCTCTAACCCCAAACCCTTTTGCCACTGGACTGAAGGCTAGCCAGACTCCATGCACCACCGAGCAGTCATTCACTCGGCACAATGTCAAAATTAGGCTCCCTCCTGGCTTAGTGCTTCAGAAGCTGGAGCTCTGGCTGTGCGAGGCTGCTCCTTAAGAGGTCGCCGTCTCATTTGGCCTCTAAAACTGAGCTGGATGATGAGCCTGATGAACTTAGCATCCCTCTGGACACACAGGGTGGATGGTCAAGCGACGCCATGGAACCGGTGTCAGTGACTCCACCAACATGATCCGAGCACTCCTCGCCACCAGGCTCCCGCACCAGGTTTGTCAGCGCACTTGCAAGTTTGCCAGTCAACGCATCTGTTTCGGGCTGTAAAGGCGTCAGCAGTACATCCTGGTGTGAAAGAAGATCCTGAGCCAAGGCAAGTTCCTTCTGCGCTTGTTCGGTTGCCTTTTGTACCAAGCGGGTTCTAATCACTTTGCACTCGGCCTCTGTGCACATGTTTGCCGTGGTTTGGGTGGAAACGTTCTTCGAAGATCCTGGGGTGTCTGGCTCGGCACGTTCAGCGACGCCAGCATGAACAGCGGTTCGGTGTGTGTCCACAAAGTATCATACAATCATACAAGCTGATAAGTCGTCGCCTGCATGAAGCCACGAGCTGAGAACACACCAATGCACCTAGGGCAAATTTCAGAAGATCGGTCACCTCCTCGCAGTCCTTGTTCTTGCCAGAAAGCCTGATTGAGTAAGCCATGCACGATGCCAACTTGGAGGCCTCGTAGCAAAAAAAACATGGCTTGAGCCAAAGCCAAACCCTAAACCCTAAACCCCCCTGAATGCCCCACCCACCTGCCTACGGCCACGGCCTGCACGTTGATGCCGGCCCCGATCTCCTTCAAGGCGCTGGCGGCCTCGACACTTTTGTGCAGCGCAAGGCTGGTTTTAGGAGTGTAGGGGTTCAGGGTTCAGGGTTCAGGGTTTAGGTTTTCGGGCTTGGGGCTTAGGCTTTGGGGTTCAAGTTTTGGGATTTAGGGTTTCGGGTGGTTGAAGGGGTTCTAGGCCTTGGGGTTTTGGGAAGTGAAGGCCTTGGATGCTAAGGCTGAGGGAGTTCCTATAAGAAGGATTATAGCATCTTGGGGGTATTCTGAGAGGACCCCCACTTTGGGACTACCACAGGTTCGGTTCGTTAGCTTGACCTAGTTCGTCCGCATCATAAACCCAAGCAGCGACCACAAAGGTCAAATACACTTGGGGCTCGCTTCGTTTACTTGCAGATAGCTGGGCTTGAGCGTTTGTGCGCCTCGTAAACCGTCACATCCGCGCCCGCGTGATGAAGCCTCATCTGCTGCAGCAGTCTGCCCGCCACACTTGAGCTTCAATCTTAAACCCCTGGGCCCACCCAACTGGGGAACACCGTACCTCCCCAAGCCATCAGAAAGCCCATGTATGCACCTCTGGGGCTCTAGGAACGCAGAGGTCAAGTGACGCAATGGCGGCTGCGCAGCCACCAATTCCTCGCCATGCAAGATGTCAAAGATTGAACATGGGGGGCGTGGACAGATCAGATCTGGCTTAACAAGACCCCCTGCAAACTCAAACGGGAGTTTCCCACACGTCGCTGCCGGCCTCCCCCCACAATGACGGTCTTCGGCTTTGGCAATGCAGCCATGGCCGCAGCCACGCAGATGGGAAGGGTGTGCGAAGTTGTCTTTCTTGGGCTAACAGTTGGGGCTTTTTTTGCCCCGAAACCCTAAGTCCAAAATGCAGGGCTTTGTGGGGCTTGAGCTCGTTGTCCAGCAAATACATCATTGTAGGGCTCTCCTGGGAAAGTCCGCAGGTTGTGTTGGGTTGTTCTAACATCCTGTCGCCATCTCGGTTCCACAAGCTGGTGCTGTTGGACCCAACTGCCCAACATCTAAATCCCAGAAAGGTAAAGTGTGCTCGGTGTGCCATTGGTCTTGAGCATCTCGGCTGTCCCAAACAACATCTAAACAAACGCCTTGGGCGGAAAATCTAGGAAGTCAGCCCCATGGGCGGAACGGCTGCTGGATTCAAAAGAGGTTCAGGATGTAATGTGATTGTAGATTGTAGAAGCCTCAGGAAGGACATGAACCTACAAGGAGCTGTGAAAAATCGTTGACTGGAAACCAAAGCTTGGGAGCACTCTGGGCCATCCTCTGCAAAAGCACCGGAAACTCCGACTCGAGAACGAAGCCCTCTTTTTCCCGCCGATGTGCCTGGGGGCCGGACACCCTCATAAAACCCGAAACATCCCGAGACATCCCAAACCCTAAGCCCTAAACCCTAAACATCCCTACGACTTCCCTAAGCCCGGCTCGGACAGACCCTGAGATCCTAAAGCCCCTGGCATCTGCTTGGCGATAGCCAACTCGACCTTCAGCCTTGGGGGGTTTACGGTTTTTGGGGCTTTCAGTTCAAGGGTGTAGGGCTTAGGGCTCAGAGCTTCAGGGGGAGCTTTAAGGGGCTTACAGGGTTGAGGAGTTTGTAGGGTTGCTTGTAGACAGGGCTCACTCCTCGGGTTGCTGTCTAGATGAAGGTTATCCTCCCGCCCAAACCCCAAATCCCTGTAGCGAACCGTCAAATCCTCCAACCCTCAGGCCCTCAAATCCTGAACTCCCTCAGCCAAGCCCCAAACAAACTAACTTCCCAAAACCCCACATGCTGGTGGGCATACGAGTAGGCACGCGCACGCCTCTTGACTTGTGCACTTTATGCAAGAAGAGGTTCTTGGGCATAGGCTTATCGTTCGAGGGTGGGGAAAGAGGCCTATCGGCGCTCAGGTTTAGGGCCCTATAGGGTATGGAGCCCAAGGTTTAAAAGGCTAAGGATTGAGCGGACTTTACCTTGTCTCACCGTTCTGGGATTAGTTGCGCGGGAATTTTCTTTTCCGGTCGCTTGAAATAGCTGCTTAACTAGAGAGAAAGAACATGAGATTCAGAACCGGCTGAACCCAAAACCCTTCAGAAGGCTTCCCACGAGGCGTCGACTCGGAGTTCTGTCGCCTCAGCTGGTCGCCCTCCTTGCCATTTCGGGAGCTGAGAAGGGAGGTTTTGTGGCTGCCACGCAGAGAGAAGGGAGATTAGGGTTTGGGGTTTACATGCTCGCAGAGTCAGTCGGTCCACAGAAACTGAGACCACTCACCACCAGACACACCTGAGTATCCAGTACGTAGTATCAGCGTGGAGGAGCACCGCGGCCCCGCTGGGATATACAGCCACGAGAATGCCCTGAAACAGCTAAGGGCCACACACACTTAGTTGCTGAGTTCATAAGCTCCAAAAAAGGGTACACTTTCGCTTCTATAGGGAATTCCAGTATCCCAAGATGTGTAAAGTCTACTCATTCAGCTACTACGTATAGAGAGCCAACACTAGTTCACAGTGCGCTCACGTCGCTGGCGTCGTCAAGCCCATGCAAGAGTCTCATGCATCCTACAAACAGAAAGTATGGTGAAGACCCTTTGCATGTCGACACCCCTAAATTCCTTAACCCTCTCCCCCCCCCATCCCCCACCCCAGAACCCCGTAAGAAAACCTCGAAACCACCAACCAAAAACCATAAACCTTAAACCCTAAACCCTACAACCCACGAACCCTAACCCTCCAAACCCACAGCCTCCACAGCACGGCGCATGGACGACAGCTCCGAGCTGCGATCATCGAGCCGGGCCTTTCTTCGGGGGGTTTCAGAATTGGGGTTGTTGAGGGCTTGGGGCTTAAGGGTTTAAGATTAGGGTTTGGGGTTCAAGGGTTTAAAATTAGGGTTTAAGGGTCTCATATGGCTTGAGCCACCGACTGGGTTTTATTTGGCACCCGACTAGCCACGGCAATAGGTTTTGGACCCGCAAACCCCTTAAACCTTTTGTAGCCGGCTTGATGGCTTCAGGCAGTGGCAAGCATGATGTCTCAGATCCGTGCATGTCCCTGACTATGGGCGTGAAGCCCGAAGACCTGTACATACCCCTATGAACCCTCAATTTAGAAGCCGTAAACCTTGTGAAAACTTTTGGCTTGGTCTGTTGGTCCTACCGGATCGGCCCCTGAGACCCAAAACCCTGCAAACCCTGTGAACGCTATCGCCCACGTAGACGCTTTGAAAACCTCGACAAACCCTCTATTGGCCCTATAGATCAGCTCTGCAAGAACTACATGCCCTCCGAAAAAAACCATCAAAACCCCATAAGTCCAGAATTCTATGGGTTGCTCTCTACATGGCCTCTTTTTGGGGTCCTTATTACAAGGCTGCCGTACTTTTTGTAGGATTGCAAAAAGGGACCCTCTTGTCTAATTTAGAGAACTACCCACATGAAGGGGTGCACGGTGTAGGGTTTAGGGGTTCCCTGCCTGCGCAACCAGGCGTTCGCCTTCGGACTTTGCCAGGCGTGCCTCGAAGATCTCTTGAAAGCAAGGGGGGACTTCAAAAGAAGGTTTTCGGGGAGTGGCCCTCACGAGACTAAAGGATTACAAGGGACCTTGGCGGCTACAAAGGGGCCACTGAAGTATATAGGAGCCCTACAAAGCCTAAACCCCCAACCCCTAAACCCCAGCCCAGGGTGGCTTTAGGGTTTTCTGGGGTTGAAGGCTGAAGGCGGCTTCGGGGTACAGGAAGGCCCTGCCAAAAAACAAAAAACGGAGCCTACCCACCAGGTTCAGGCTTCAGTCCACGCATCAGATTTCTCGCGTCCATCCTGCTAGGCGTCTGATGCATCCTAAACATCATGCCACCTTAAGAAAGGATGCGGTGTCAACCTCACCCATATCCTGGCTCCAGGTCCATCCCGATCCCAACACTCTAAACCCAAACGACCTGGGTCGCCTGAAGATCCCGCTCGTAGTCGCGGAGGCGCATTACGTGGCTTTCGTCCGCGGTGCCACCTGCCAGGGGCATCCAGTCTTTCTTGCCACCCGCCCAGCAGACTACTGGACAAAGGGGGTTTAGGGTTTAGGGTACTTCTTGCTACCCTCCTAGGAGGACGAACCACTCTGCAGGGACAACAACGTCTCAGACTCACACCGCGCTTCGCCGGCGCAGCTCTGCCGTGAAGGGCCGCTGGCTTCAGACCCGAAACGCTCAGCACGGATGGGTTGCTTTTTCCATCATGCAATTCGTGGTTGGTTTATATGCTTGCTCATCGAAAGGCTCTTGGCAGCACCCACAAGCTGTGCAAGCCTGTACAGGGTTCTTCACTTGGTTTCTAGTCATCCGGCGGATGCCAAATTGTCAACAAAGCACGTGGTCTCTACAGATTCAACAGCAAGCTGTAGCACAATACCGCCTGACTTCGGAGACGAGGAAACATCGGGCTGAAAATTGAACTGATGCTGGTTTGTTAATTATGCTGTAGGTCCGACGGCGGCGTCGGCCTGTGCCGATGTCAACTTGGACAGATTCCTGGTCAATGATGGGCAAGAATCCCCGCAACAAAAAACATTGCACAAGGTACTTGTTGACCAGGAACATTGTGGGTTGCCGAAAACGGGCCGTGCTAGGTCACGGCGAGAACTGTCGCGACATCGTTGATGTCAAGGAAAGCGTTGCGATTGTGACAACTGCTGGGTCGGGCAATGAACGGTTTAGGGGTTAGGGTCAGGTTTAGAGTTTAGGGTTTACCGTCAAGCTGTGATTCTAGCAATGATGGGGGTGCGGTTGTTGCAATCGACCACAAGGCTTGAAACACGGCAAGAGAATCAAAAATATGGAAACTATGAGGCTCCGCAGGCGGCAGGCCGCTCCACATTGCAGGCCGCTGGCAAAATCTGCAACCGCGTTGCAGGCATTGAAATCCTTCCCTTCTTGCGAGTATGTTTCGTTCTCAGCTGGTGCGGCGTGGACAGTCAGCACAAGCAAACATCATGGGCTTGTCCGGATGAAGGCACTGGGTCTTCCTGGCTCGCCCAGTGCTGGCAACCTCCTCGCCAACGAAGGCTGCCACAGCCATGGGCTCAGAGTCCAACTCGTTCGCTTCGGTTGCTGCTTTGCTGTTGCGACGCGGACAGTCAGCACAAGCAAACATCATGGGCTTGTCCGGATGGAGGCATTGGGTCTTTCTGGCGCACCCGCAAGCGGTGCTGGCAACCTCCTCGCCAACGAAGGCTGCCACAGCCATGGGCTCAGAGTCCAACTCGTTGGCTTCGGTTGCTGCCTTGCTGTTGCGACGCGGGCAGTCAGCACAAGAAAACATCATGGGTTTGTCCTGATGAAGGCACTGGGTCTTTCTGGCTCGCCCAGTGCTGGCAACCTCCTCGCCAACGAAGGCTGCCACAGCCATGGGCTCAGAGTCCAACTCGTTCGCTTCGGTTGCTGCCTTGCTGTTGCGACGCGGACAATCAGCACAAGCAAACATCATGGGCTTGTCCGGATGAAGGCACTGGGTCTTCCTGGCGCACCCGCAAGCGGTGCTGGCAACCTCCTCGCCAACGAAGGCTGCCACAGCCATGGGCTCAGAGTCCAACTCGTTGGCTTCGGTTGCTGCCTTGCTGTTGCGACGCGGGCAGTCAGCACAAGAAAACATCATGGGCTTGTCCGGATGAAGGCACTGGGTCTTTCTGGCTCGCCCAGTGCTGGCAACCTCCTCGCCAACGAAGGCTGCCACAGCCATGGGCTCAGAGTCCAACTCGTTCGCTTCGGTTGCTGCCTTGCTGTTGCGACGCGGACAATCAGCACAAGCAAACATCATGGGCTTGTCCGGATGGAGGCACTGGGTCTTCCTGGCGCACCCGCAAGCGGTGCTGGCAACCTCCTCTCCAACGAAGGCTGCCACAGCCATGGGCTCAGAGTCCAACTCGTTCGCTTCGGTTGCTGCTTTGCTGTTGCGACGCGGACAGTCAGCACAAGCAAACATCATGGGCTTGTCCGGATGAAGGCACTGGGTCTTCCTGGCTCGCCCAGTGCTGGCAACCTCCTCGCCAACGAAGGCTGCCACAGCCATGGGCTCAGAGTCCAACTCGTTCGCTTCGGTTGCTGCTTTGCTGTTACGACGCGGGCAATCAGCACAAGCAAACATCATGGGCTTGTCCGGATGGAGGCATTGGGTCTTTCTGGCGCACCCGCAAGCGGTGCTGGCAACCTCCTCGCCAACGAAGGCTGCCACAGCCATGGGCTCAGAGTCCAACTCGTTGGCTTCGGTTGCTGCCTTGCTGTTGCGACGCGGGCAGTCAGCACAAGAAAACATCATGGGCTTGTCCGGATGGAGGCATTGGGTCTTTCTGGCGCACCCGCAAGCGGTGCTGGCAACCTCCTCGCCAACGAAGGCTGCCACAGCCATGGGCTCAGAGCCCAACTCATTCGCTTCGGTTGCTGCTTTGCTGTTGCGACGCGGGCAGTCAGCACAAGCAAACATCATGGGCTTGTCCGGATGAAGGCACTGGGTCTTTCTTGCAACCGTCTTCGCCGCCGCCATTTCCTGGCGCAGCGCTTTGGTTTGCATGCGCGCGCCGCGTGCTTGGACTCGTCGAGATCCAGCCCTCCGAGCGCCAACTGCGAAGATGGACACGGCGCCAAGCGCTGCCATCGATGCTGAGGCGGAGAAGTGAGATGCGGAACTCGACGGGAGCTCCGCGCGCTGAGCCGCAAGCGGAGCATGGCGTCCTGCTCCAACGTTGACAGCCGGCCCATGTGCTTGCACGAAGGCCAGTCCTGAAGAAGCCATGACGACCAGAAGCAGCCTTCTGAGAACGAGGTCGCAGTAGAAAGATCGGCACAGATTTCTGAGCCCCAAGAGCCTGAGCCAAAAGTAGCCAACAAACGGCTCTGACTCTCACTGTATCCACATGTAGGACCAGAGGACCTCAGGACCAGCCAGACCTAAGAAAAGGGGGAAAAACAGAGCCAGACCTGGGCAAAAGCAACAAAAAATCACCAGAACCACCCCCCCCCCCTGCCCTCCACAAAAAAAAAAAGCTTGAGACCTGCCTGAAGCCGCTGGAGGCTCCTGTGGGCGCTTTGCCTGGGCAGCGACTTCCATCCTCCTCCCCAGACTTGGGGTGTACATGAGGCCTGGGAGGGTGTGTCTGGCTTGAAATCTGCGACTTTTTTCGGGTGTCTTCGCCAGTGACCTCTCGACAGCAGCGCCAGACATCCAAGCATGGCATACCCCTGTCATTGCGAAAGCCCCAAGTGATGCTAAACCTGGCATCGGTGCCACGCCTGTGGCCTTACCAGAAGGACCCTTACCACAAGAGTCCCTGGCGCACGCCGTTGCACTCCCCGCTGCCCCCCCCGTGCACTCGTGGACAGATCCCCAGCCGCCTCGGCTGGCTTCGGCGCGATGGCTGGTCCTGCCAATGAATCGAGAGCCGAGCTGTGCGAGCTTCACAACCAAGGAGCCCAAATAGCCGCCCTAACCATTGAACCAAAGAACCCTTAGTGATCTCGATGTTGTCACTGCCCTTTGCTGACGAGGAAATGTAGCCAAAGCGGCAGTGGAACAAGACAGGCTCTAGCAAGCATTCTCAAGCACTTTCAAGCAGCCCTCGCGCCCTCAGAGCCTCAAGCTTGTCTTGAGCCAGATAGGGCTTGTCGTGAAAACGTCTTTGAAGCGAGGCACACACACACACACACACACACCTGTGGAGATCCGGAACTCCTGAAGCCCAAGCCACTGAAGCCTTTAAACCCGTGACGGCCGCCGTCTTCGGCCCCCACCCTCGGCGGGGAGCAACGTCAGCACACGCTGCGGGAAGTCTCCTGCTGTTTCGAGGCGGATTTTCCGGCTGTAGGAACTTCTAGGAGTGGATCTGATTCACAGGCCCCTGGACAGCACATGCCCCAGCTGCGTAGGACTGTGTAGGCTTGTATTGCCAGGTGCCCTAGTGCCCACTCACCACCCCGTGGACACATGGTAAAACAAATCTCAAGAGGGGCAGGCCACCAAGCTGTAGATCATGCTCCTCCACGCCGTGCACAAATTGTTTCGGGTTTAGGGCCTTCGGCTTTCAAACCAAAAGCCAGAGCACCCCATTCGCTTCTTCTCGTCACTGCTGCACAAGGTCTTGTCAACTCTGCCTAACTCTGGGCAGCTTGCAAAAGGCTGTGGTCAGGTGGTCTGACCTATTCCCAACTTCCCACCCGAGCATCACATCCGAAACCAAACCTTAATTCAATTACCAGGGTTTAGAGGAGGCAACTTAATCGCATGCTGACTAAGAGGACCCAGCGAGACGAAACAAAATAGCCTGAAATACCAGGGTGAGAGTCGCATGCCTGTACTCACAGCTTCTATAGGCCCTGTCCAACAAACATGCTCCAGTGACGTTTGCCGCAGAACCATTTTTCTCAAGATGTGCCAATAGAATCAATGGACCATTAGCAGCCGCACAATTGTTCTGCTACACTTGCCTTAACATTCCTTTTCAAAAAAAAACGGTGCAACTTGCACATGGCCTGCCTCTTAGACAAGCGCACGAGAGCTGCATCCGCTCGCAAGATGGAAGTCTATCCGCAAGTCCATATGGTTAAGGGTGTGGGGTTTGGGGTTTGGCAGGCGATCTCTGCTAGCAGTAGGGGGGTTTAGGGTTTCACGCAGGCCATGGCTAGATGGATAGCTGATAGCCCTGGAAACTGTACTGACCACGATGCAAGTCTCAAGCTCGCAGCGCACCTACGACGATACGATGGAGGCTCATGATCTCGATTTGTTCAGGGCCTTCTTGCACCGGCCCAGTCCTGAGGCACCGCCCGGCTGCTGTGGTTCCTTGCTCACTGCGGCCTTCGGCTTGAAATCGCGAGTGTCAGGCTCGGGAAGTTAGGGCTCATAAGGTCTTCTGCACTTCAGGTTGTTCATGGGGGGAATCGGTGAAACGCGGCCAGGAAACCCAAATCGCAGCTGGGCTCCGCCCTTCTGCTGATAAGCGCCTGTGTAGCCCCCGAAAAGGCCCACGTGAATAAGATGATCTGGGTGGCGCCTGCGCAGGCCTTGGCGCCTCTGGTGAAGCAGCGGCCTGTAGAGCAACAAGAAGTTTCTGCATAGAGGGCTCAGGGTTGGGGTATTGGGTCTAATCATATCGAGACTCGAGGATAATTTCAAAGCTGTCGGTTGCTGAAGCTACAGGGGATGGCTGTGGGTTGCTGGCAACACAACGCCATGATCCACAGACAACCTTGCCAGTAGTCCCTCCCTTTTGAGTTGGCGCCCCGCAGTGGTTTCTCGGCCAGCTTTTCTCGGTTGAGAGGGAACCAACAAGGTGTGAGACAGACTTGGGACATCTTGGTGCCGTTCTGGTGATTGGATTCGGCTCATGGGGCGCGCAGGTTCCTTCTTGTTGAACGTGTCGTGCGTATTGAACACTTCCGTGTCGTATTCGCACCAGGAAGGTGCGGTGCTCCCAACCGTGCCGGACGATAGCGAATGCTCCGGCACGTGCCTCAAGCTTCTTTACCCATAGAAAAAATTCAGGTCAGAAGAAACTCCTGCAAACTCAGACAGAAGCCTGCCACAAGTACGAAACATGAGGATTGGGAGGTTCCTTCTTATACCAACCATCCTTAAATAGGGATTAAAAAGGGGGGGGGTACTATAATCCCTATTAAGGACTGTTTGTGTAAGGCGAAACATCCCCATGGAAAGCACTATTCGCCACAGGGATTCGAGCTCCCGGAGTGTCAGGTCTCCTTTAGTTTCTTCTGAAGCTTGCCAGGCTAGGGGAGCACCACCCAATCTTATGGCTTATAGAGTTTAGGGTAAACCCTAAACCCCAGGTTCAAAACCCTCCTCTGAGTAGTAACCTTAGATAAGGCTCTCTTACCCCCAGTAAGGGAGCATACTAAGGGCCTGCCTCATTCCACACCCCAAGAGCACCCTAAACCTAAACCCTCGTACTTTGCAACCAAACCCTCGTACTAAGTGTCAAAACCGTCCATTAAACAAAGAAGTCGCTCAGGCGATCGCCCGTGGGATGGTTGGTGAACCTCAGCAGACGGGCACCACCAGGAGTATTTCCTTACAGCATAAACCTTAAAACCCTAAACCCGATACCCTAAACCCTAATCCCAAAACCAATTATGACTAGTGTTGGGGATGCCTAGCAATTATAGTACCCAACAGTAAAGTAAGCAGCACAAGTTTGTCAACAAAAGCTAGGGTTTATAGGGTTCATAGGGTTTAGGGTTTCGTCGCTCACTCTCGCACACGGCAGGCAAGGTCTCTGTAGATCCAGTCAGGTCAGCTAACTCTCTAGACAATCTCCATGCAGCAACTGGCCTCACTCGTACCTGAACTGCAAAGACCTTAAGATGCAGATATCCACTCTAGGGTTTAGGGTTTAGGACTAGGTGTGCACCGAATGCTTCGTATCTGCCAGATGAAGCCTAAGAGTCGTTTGGCCAAGCAAACTCCCTAAAACCTAAACTGCTATTTGTTTGCTTAAGAGCCCCCCCCCCCCCCCAAAAAAAAAAAAAAAGGTATATATTCTTACTTATGAGGGCAATATAGGGATTATTGTTCTGGAGGTTCTTAAGCAAATAGTTGTAACACCCTGACCATGGACCGGGTGACTGCGAGAACCCCCTCCTGCTGGCTGCTGCCACGTGGCGTGCGCGAAGGCCCGCGGAGGTGGAGGCCTCCGGAACACCAAGAAGCCGAGCGACAACCTACTCAAAATCCGAACGCCCAATATTCCTGGAACGTCAAGAGAGTGGCCCTAGGTGCAAACGGGAACGGAGGTGAAAGCTTAAAGAAACCTGAGATACAAGTCTCTGCATCTCTCACCGTCGCCCCCGCAAGCCTGCAGTCTGCCACAACCCTAACCCTAAACCCTAAACCCTAAACCCTAAACCCTAAAGCCTTTGAACTCTTAGGCCCCACATATTTGTATCTCGGAGCCTGAAGTCCCATCTGTGTCTTTGAGCTCCCCAGGCCTCCCTGCCGGAGGACACGAGTCGCCCTGACCTGAATCTTCGGGGCTTCAGGCTTAGGAAGAGAGGGTTTTGGGGGAGTTTAGGGTTTAGGGTTTTAGGGCTTAGGGTTCGGAATTTTGGGGCTTAGGGAGTGTGAGGGTTTCAGGGCGTGGCTTTAAGGTTCCGGGAATTTGAAGGTGCAACGTGCAGGCTTGCCATAAGCAGGGTTTTCTAGAACTAGGCCATGGGCTCTCCTCAGTGGACCCGAGTGGTTTGGGCATCGTTGCTCCTTCGGGGCTGGTTTAGATTGAGGGCAAGGGAGTCCGCAGACAGCCGTGACATGAATCCTAAATGGAGGCTCCAAAACCCGATTTCCTGCAAGCTAGCTGCATTCTCATGGGCTGCAGTTCCCTATGCAGCAGGCTCACTCTCGATCTCGAAGCCCCTAAATCTAGGAAGACAGGATCACCTGCACCAAAACCCGTGGCAACACGGCCCTTGGGGCGATTCATGGCCGAAGTTGGCGATGACCCCAGTGACGCCCGCAGGTGGTGGGATGTCATTGCGCGAAGATGCGAAGAGCACGTGGAAGGATCTCATGTGGCGAGGCGTAGAGGTACACCTGGACTTGAGAAGGGGCTACGAAAGCTAGTCACCGCAGGGGGGTGGTATGCAGCGAGTCGGCAGGACTTGGAGCCGCCGGCGCAGCTTTTTCCGTATTTCAGGTACAGGGACGCTCTGTTCAGTACGACCTCTGCAAAGTACCACAGACCTTCAGAGCATGGTGACTGTGGGGGGCGGGGGAGGACCTTGGGGTGGGGTGGGGGGGGACCTTGTGGGGGGGGGCGGGGAGGGGACCTGAAGGTGGTAGGGGGGGGGCCCCCCCCCCTACCTTATCCCACACGCAACCACCTTAAAGGAGGGGGGGGGGGGGGCCGGCACCTTATCCTTCGAAAATGCTTCATGGTGAGGTGAAGGGGGGGGGGGGGGCCCCCCCCCCCCCCCCCCCCCCCCAACCCCCACCTTAAGTCTTGGGTTTCGGACTGGGCGAACTCAAAAGCCGCAACCTGGAACACAGACTCAGCACACGGGACTGGAACAAGCCCACGATCAACCAGTGCTGTCCCCAAGCCCCCGCAGGCGAGAGCGTGCTCAGCCTCTCCAGACAGTCTGAGGCCTGAAGACCGAGATCTTGAACACCAACTAGGTCCCCCCCCCCACACAAAAAAAAAAAAAAAAAACCTGAAATAGTTTGAGCCGCACTCCTCAGAAATGGAGTCATCGTGCTCTCCTATCCAGAGATCTTCACTAAGTGCCCGGCTGGACCATTTCCTTGCAATTGGTTCAGGGGTTTAAAGCTCAGGGTGTTCAGGTTCAGGGTTTCAGGTTATTCAGGGTTTTGAGGTTATTTAGGGTTTTGAGGTTATTCAGGGTTTTAAGGTTATTGAGGGTTTTGAGGTTCGACGCTTCAGGATGTTGCATCCGGTCAGCTTGTCGGACATCGGCGCCGGCACTGGCTGTCGGGGGGGCAAGGTTTAGGGTTCAGGGTTTAGGGCTTCGGGCGCCCAAGAGCAACTTAGGAGTAAACAGGGTGGCCCTTTTTGGTTTAAAAGAGCTTATAAGGGAACCTAAACCCGAACAAAAGGAACGAGGGCCTACTCTGGGTCCTCGGAAACTGCTGGTAGGCCATTGAAACGCTCGAAGATCCCATGAACCAACTCAGCGAAAAAAGAAACTTCCGAAGCTCCAGGTTGGCTTCCCAAGAAAACCTAAGCCCTAAACTTGAAACACTGGGGGGGGGGGGGGGGGGGCCAAACATGAGGTGTGCACACTCCTAGCCCCAGTTTAAAGACACATGGCCCAAGAAAAAGGAGGGCTGTGGTCTGAAAGCCTCACGGATGCCATGTGAGGGATCGAGGTTTAGCGGGTGCTTAGGGTTTGTTTAGAATAACCCACGGCAACAGCAGCAGGACCCCATGGTACAGACACTCTGGGAATCTCGGGACTTAGGTTCCCGTTTTGCCTCCAAAACGGCCCGAGCTCCAACAGCCAAAGCCCCAAATCCATTCGAGACCCCTCGGTCAAGTGTCGTCTCTCGTCAAAGGCCGCCTGGGCATGCTTCAAGCTGTGTGTCTAGGAGCCGGATCATTGCAACAGGAAGCTGAATAGGGAGACCATGACCATGGACAGAACTGACCCTCTGTGCAGATACGCGCAAGAGAAAGCGTAAAGAGTTTGTGTCCACAGCTCCAATAACGTTCCAGTGTGATTACTCTTTGGGCTTGGGGTATACAGCTGTTTTCAGACCTGCGGAAACCCCACCAAACCGGGCTCAGCTTCGCCGGGTTGAACAGTCCCATGACTGCATATATGGGGGGGATTCTCCAAATCATGGACCCTTTTTGGGCACGCTGGATGTATAAGGACCTGTGTGGTAATCCTGGCCTCAGCACAACAGCAAACCTACAACCCAAACCCCAGCAAGAGGAGTCGTGCTGGGCGATGACGTGCACGCAAGCCAAACACTCATTGAAGCTCATGGCGACATGATCAAGGTGAGCCGAATATGAAGGAAAAGGGGCTTGACTTTCAGTCAGAACTGGCCGAAACCTTTGAAAAAAGGCTCGAGCAAAGGGATCAACCAACCTTGCCCTTGGCCCAATGGCCCTGAAAGGCGACTTCAACTCCTGAACATTTGGGCATGCTTAGGGCTTCGGGCTTATAGGCTATGCTACGTAGTGGTTCTTCATCATTCGAGAGGGCGTGCACAGCGGAACCAGTCGCTCTGTCCAAACCCTAAACCCCAATTCTCACAACTGGACTGTGAACTAAGCCCGAATTCAACCCCATGTAAACCGAAGCCCTGAACACATTCTTCGAGAACCATCCAGAACCAGAGCAGGGGTCCAGGCTCTGCAACCACGGATGCCTGGGCCACTACTTGCAATTCGCAGGCTTTGTTCATGGCATCGTTTCAGAGCTTGGGTTACAGTTTGGGATGTGCCTCCTTTTAATAGCAGTCCTTCATAACAAATCACCGTACCCCCTACTATGATCCCTACTAAGGACTGCTAGTACAAGGGGGGAACATCATGGCCCCAGAACTGCCGGTGATTCTGCGAGGCCAGGGGGGCTTGCAGCAGAGATTCAGATGTATGGGCTCTGTGTCTTACTGCACGTACGACGCAAGCGGTGTCAGCGATACTTCGCTCGACTGCACCCTGTTGTTCGGCCACTTTCCCTGATTCGGGGGGGCATGGGCAACCGGAAATGGGCCCTCCTGAACCTTGAGTTCGGATTTGTCAGGCGCCACAAGCGCCGAACCCCAAACTTCCGACATTTTGGCCCGGGTGGCCGAGGAAGGAGCTGGTGGCGAGTGGTGGCGCTGCCTGGCCGCTGCTGACTTTTAGGGTCTTGGGTTTGAGGTTTAGGGCTTGGGGTTTGGGGTTTGAGTCGTTTGAGGTGTTGAGGGAGATCCAGTGTTGCTGGCCCTGCTGGAGGCTTCGCAAACAGATGTTTGATCCAGCCTTTCCCTGACGATCTTGCGGATGTTACTGACGCCCAGTGGCTTGCCGGAGTTTACTGCGGTGATTGTGCAGCTGGACCATGGCACGCTCGAAGGTCTTTCTTTGCCCACATTGTCAAGAAACATTCTGTGCAGAATGCTCTGAAAAGTCGCACCTGCCCTCTTTGCCACAGAGAATTCACTGAAGTTTCCGCCTGACGCAGACATGTAGCCAGGAAGTCTTGTGGAACGGTGGTCAACAACCACGGCGGGGCGGGGGCCATTGCAGGCGCTAGAGCCAAAGAATCTCGATCTCGCGCTGCAGCCGTACCTGTTCAAGCCGGGCGGACTTCACCTCTGCGCACCTCCAGGCAAAGCGATGTCCGGACTTTCTTTCATGGCGGGTCTCCAACAGGTGGAGGCGCCTGGCAGACAGGCACGCTCGAAGAGGCCTCGCACTCAGAACGCCGGGGAGTCAGGCAGCGAGCAGATGGACCAGCAGATCAAGCAGCTCGGCAACCAGCTTCGTACTGTCATGAAGATTGTAGGACAACACGACAGAGAGATCCGCGAACTGGAAGCATGGAGTTGCCACACATATTTGCTCAGCAAAGACAGTCAGCTAGCCAAAGACCTACGGGCCGCGATGGAAGCATGGAAGTCGAAGATCCCAGAGGCTGGGCCGCACCCTCAAGGACCTCCGCGCTGGACAGTGGCAGGGACGGTGGCCAATGCGCTCGTCAAGGACGGAGCTCGGCGGGCTCAGCTGGGCAAGTTCGTGGCATTCCATGAAAGCTTGAGCTCCCTGGAAGACATGGAGAGTTCGATACAGTTCGCCGTTGCCAAAGAAACCAGGGATGGGAAAGTGCTGCTCAAGCTCCGTCCGCAAATGGTGTGCCAAGCAGAGTGGCACGAGGCCGCTGCAGTTTTGAGGGAGATCATCATTGCGGAAGGTGGTGAGCAGAAACACGGTGCAGCCCCCCTGAATCCTCTGGTTCGACAGATTGAGGCTCGCAGTCATCGTAGTTGATCGGCGGTGCAAACACGGGGAACTCGAAGAGCACCCCCGTTGCCAATCCCTGGCTGCTGCCAGGTCGCAGGTGTGTTTGCTAGAGATACACAGGAAAGTATGCCCGTTCCTTTTTGACAAAGCCAGATGGGGGCAGAGAGCTTGACTCCTGTCTCTTCTGGCATTACCCGCACATGCCAACAGAGTATGTGTGCGCAACTCCGGTTGTGTAGAGCTCCGACACGAGTTTCTCTAACGAACTCACGCGGCACACAAGACAAGACAAGACTTTTCACTCGCGCGTGGGCTGAGGGTAATATAGGGGCCTTAATAATGAGAACAAGGTTTTAGGGGTTATCATCGTGTACTTATAAAGGGACCACTAGTAAGTAGTACTTATTCCGACTCCTATACTACTTGAATAGGGGTGTAGGGATCATGGTTCAACGAGTCTTGGATGCCTGTTGGACCCCTTCAATCGTAGCACGGTGCCGAGGTGCCAAGGCCAAGCAAGGATGCCAATAAGTGAACTGGTTTCGAGCGCAACCCATTGTTTCTGCACAGAGGTCCACTTCTTGTAGTCCCTTGTGTTTGTTGGCCATTGAGAGTCGGTGGGTTTAGAGTCTGCTTCATCGCGGGAGGTTACTTAAGATGAGAAGGTGCAGGTGTCGGCGTGCTGTGCAAGTAGACTTAGAAGGGCTGCTGGATGCCGCAGGTCCCCTCGAGGTATACTCGCAAGCTACGTCCCTTTCATAAAGTGAGCTCATCAGCTCCGTTTCTCGGATGGTGCGCCGGGGAGCGATTCAAGATTCCATGCAACTTTCTGGAAAAGCGTTCTCCTCCAACTCGACGTCGGAAGCACAAGGGCCGCGCATACTGCCAGGTCCGCTTGAGTAGCAATGAGGCTTAGGCAGCTCCGTGGGCCTGTGCCGAGTTTTCACAGCTTACAAGGCTCGCAAACCAACACCAAGCGCAGACCCGAAAAAGGACGACCGCCGGCCACGTGAGTAGGGTCTTCTGGCCAAGCAGGCGGTCTGAATTAAGGGTCTGTTCTGTCTTTTAACGACTCCTGCGGTTGAGATGCCTAGGCTGCCACTGAACACCAGATCCAAACCCTATACCCTTAACCTCATGGTTCTCAATCGGGAAATGGGGACTTTGGTCCGTTTTTCATGTCAAGGGCTATAGTACTATAATTCTTTCTAAAGAACAAGCTAGCAACTAGTGAGTTTGTCGTGGCTAAAGGAAGCCGAAGCAGATGCCCCCAGCCACAATTCCGTTCCCCTTTAGGTGCTTGTGGTGGGCTCTGCAGCTAAACGCACGCCCTGTGCTCCCGGGTCGCAGCCAAATCTGGATCCGATGGCTTTGCCACTCAAGGCTCCGTCGGGAGGCAAGCGCCAGTGCCATGCCGGGTGCCCAGCGGCCCAACCCCATCTTCTCAACTGTTCTTAGCACCTCTTCAAACAAATTTAACCAAGAGCTAGTCTCTGCTTTCGACTCGGACGTGGTCGTTGTTTCTCTACCCCAGCTACGCTGCGTAAGATGAAGATGCAGTGTGTGTGTGTGTGTGTGCGAGCGCAGTCCTTCGAAGCCCCAATGCCCAACACATGGGACACGGTTTAGGGTTTGGGGTTTCTTCGCGCATCCTCTAAACTCAACCTCCTGCAGGTGTCGGGACCCCCGCACATCCGGACGAAGGCGTGCTCGCTCCGCACTAAAGGGTGAAAACTCTGGTTTCTAATCTGGAGATCTCGCACATTCAGCAATCCTGTTCCCTCGGAGTCACTGCAGAGAGCTGCATCCGAGCGTGCGATATGCCAAGATAATGTGCTTTGCTAATCACACCGAGGCGGACCCCGAATTTGAGAAATCGTGCTATCGAAGCATCCATTCCTGTGACACTAGCATCACAGATGACCGAAGCAGGTGGACGTCGCACTAGGCCTGGCAAGGCACGAACCAGTTCTGATGCGCAGAGGCTTACCTACCTAAGGTGTGGTCATGTGTAGATTTTGCAAACCTCTTATGGCGTCTATGGCGCAATTCCTTTGTGACCGGAGAAGGACCCGAGGTTCGCACCCCAAGATGTTCCATGGCACCCCAAACTTAAACTTTACTTCCAAAAACCCAGACATGCAGAAGTTCTTGGCCATCTTTGAAGGAGCAGATCCATAACACGGGCACCTTTACTTAACTTTACTTGGGGTTCAGGGTCTAGGGGGCTTAACCAGACAGGGACTTGTGGAAAGTTGATCTTCTACGCAAACAGGAGCTCTAAGGGAAGAACCTCGGTCATTGTTGTCTCCTGCGTTTATGCGCTCCCGTGAAGCCTGCTTGCGCCCGAAGGTTCGGGGGACAATTGTCGCAGCTGGAGGCGGTAGCTCCTGCATGGAGCTTAGGTTGCCCAGTTAGAAGGGACCGAATCTCCCAAAAAGGGAATAAGGGTACTAACTGAAGATCCTAGGAGCAGAACTGCACTCAAGACTCCTGACCCAAGAGTTCTCGTCTTGTGGGGTTGGATGCGTTTTCTTTCGCCACCCGCCTATAGCTGACCACGCTCGGATGCACTACAGGGCTCTAACTGTGAAAAATAGTCAGCGTGACGCCTTCGAAGTTCAGCAGAAAAAAAACATCGGTTTTGTGAGGTGCCCGAGCAAGCAGGCGCATAAGTATATAAAGCAGACCTCACATACTGAAACCAAGGGTTCAGGCTTTAGGGTTTGGAGCTCAATCAGGGCGCTGGGGCTGCGATTCTACGACTTGTTCAATCAGGTTTTAGGGGTGTGGTCTATATATATATATATATCCCTAAAGCCTAAAGCCTACGTAAACCCTGAAGGGTTTAGGGTTTGGGGAGTTCAACAGGGTCCCTCCGCTGCAGTTTACGATAGTCTACGCCCGTCCTGCTGCACCAGCTGGAACAACGGCTCCGTCGTCTCGGGCGGCTGCTTGAAAGTACCACGGGGGCAAAGCGTGGAGGGATCCTCCAAGCCTTCGCAACATAGGCTTTAAGGTTTATATATATATATAATATTATACATATATATATATACAAACATATTTATGTCATTCATATTTGGTTTTGGGTTGTAGGGTTAAGGGGTTGTAGGGCTTAGGGTTTCATGATGTTCTTAAGGTGCGGTTTAGGGTCAAGAGTGTGCGGCACGGCTTGGGGTTTTGGGGTTCAATGCGGCCGTAAGCTGGAGTCCAAGAAGCACAACTACCCGACTACCCAACGAAGCTTCAAAGGGAGGAGAGGGGTTGGGCTCGGTCTTGCTTGGGGCTTCGGGTCTTGATCTGGGGTTGGGGGGGGGGGGGGGGGGGTGGGCCTTCGGGCCAGGATTCGTACTTCCTCTACCTCCGACAACCTTTCAGCACCTGAACCCTCAGTCTGTAGACTGAGGCCACAAGCCTGACAACGCCGTTACTGCAGCGCTTTTGAATCCGGCGGGGAGACCATGAGGCTGCTTCCGCTCTTCTCGGAAGGGCTGGTAGAGAGCGGGGAGCATGCTCTTGTCCATGGACACCTGGCAGTCAGCATTTTTTCGCTCCTCACACTCAAAAATGACGCGAATCGCGAATCGCTGGAGGAGCAACTTAAGTGATGGCTGGGGTTTGGTGGCCGGCAGGGCAAGGCCTGAAGCACAAGATCGACTGTTGGGACTTACTTCGGTCTATTGGTAACTAAGGCCTAGTCACTTCTGCGACGATCGTGCGTGTTCAGTCGCCCAACTTCTGGTAAACCCAAAGCTGAAATCTCCACACTGGCCGTTTATGTTCGCTGCCGAACAGTGCGCTGAGATACCATCAGCGCCTCAGCACCTCTATACAACAGCTCCATGCAGGCCAATGTGTTCTGCACATCATGACATCAGGGCGCCTGCGCCTGGGATATGACTGGAAGCAGGTCCGAGCGGATTCCCGCGAATGGAGCCGTGCGCCTCAGCTTCGCTAGGGACGCTGTGAGCTCGTGGAGGTTTCATGACGGTGTAGCGGGCAAAAGGGGCTAATCAACCCTAAACCACTCCCAGAAGCTCTGAACTATCTCTGCGCTTGAGCCACCTGCATATCTGCAAGCTTCGACCTCAAAAACTCGAAACAGCCTACATCTTTAATTGATTACCTCCAATCCCTCTGACCCCCCAAAAAGCGACCTTTGCGCCCTTGTCAGCCGAAAGGGCGAGTCGAAGCCCTTCATGAAATAGGCGTTGCGGGTCTTCTTCGGCAGCTCGCGGAGTGACAGCTCCTCCTGGATGGTGAAATTCATCTTGTACTTTGTCCTAGGCCGGGCTTGCGTTGGGTTTAGGCTTTAGGTTTTAGGGTTCGGAGTTTAGGGTTTGGGGTTTGGGGTGGAAGGTTTGGTCCTGGCTTGTGGGCTCGGAATGGCTTGTGGGACGCGATTGGTTCAAATTTGGGTTAGGGCAGTGAGCCCACAAAACATACTTTGGGGGGGGCGAGCTGCTTGGTTCTTTAATAGGAATGGACCATTGTGAAAAGAGTCTTTGGGGGGAATGCTTAGATTAGGGATGTTGAACACTATGACATAGATAAGGTAGATGGACTGACAGGTAGGCAGAGGTAGTAGGCACGTACAGGGAAGATGGGATCGTGGCAGAAACCCAGCAAGGACGGGGAAGGCACGCCGAAGCAAGAATCAGCAGTAGACTGCCAGGAGCCCTCAACCCTAAACCCTAAACCCTAAACCCTACATTTGGCATCCCTGGGAGCTACAATGAGCATTGAGGCTTCTCGGGTCATAGAGCATAGGGTCATAGAGGGGATGTGGGGCTATGGTTATACGGTTGCAAGGATGTAGGTTTTCACAATTTAGGAAGACATCTTCGGTTGATTTTAGGGTGAAGGCCTGGGGGCTCAGCTAATAATGCTTGTTTAGAGACCTACAGGGCTTGCCGGATGCCACGCGTCAAGCATAACAGCAGGGCCAAACTTCAGACAAGCGCCATACATTTTTTGCAGTGTAACCTATTTATGCACCAAAGAAACCATCTCATGATTGTGCTGACAATTCTGAACACAACTAGTCCGCACGAAAATTGTCTGCTTTGTGACCGCCAAAGCTCTTGGGAGCAGGCAGCGCAACGTCGGGCACGTCATAGATCCTTGGCTGCCTATTGACACCACTCGAAGCTTCGAATGTCATAGGGCACGGACGCAGCAATCAACAAGCAACAACGACAACTGTATCTTCCACAGGACGAGGTAATGGTCACAGAACGGCATATTGCTAAGCCGCAAGCACTGCCAAGCCGTGATCCCTGCAGATCTTAAAAAGGGGGCCCTGGACAGTATTCGGTAGCTTATGCGGCCTAAGCCCTAAACCCTAGACTTAAGCGAAGACATGGGGTACCTTACTTCCCAAATCCCTGAGGCCGGCGTCTTCGCAGCATCGACGCCGATGGTCCGTTCGAGCCTGTCCTGGGGAGCGGGCCTTTGGGGTTAGGGTAATTCCAGGGTTTAGGGTTTGGGGGGGGGGGTATGTATCCCAAGAAAGCCCCTCCCTTAAGGACCCTCGAAGGTAAGCATCTGAGTTCAAGAAGGTTCGGGCCTCGAAGGTAAGCATCTGAGTTCAAGAAGGTTCGGGCTGGAAAGAGGGTACACTTGCAGAGTCCTAACGCAGCTTCAGCGTTGTACTATGCTGTAGTACTGTTGACCTTGCGCAGCTTTAGGGCAGCGCAACCCATAGAACCCAGCCCCCCAAGAAAGCAGATATTCAGCTCCCGAAAAATATCTCAGCCCTCGCGGAAGACATGGAATCTGCAGCGGGGCCCCACAACAGGGTGCAGTCCCATGAAGGGTGGTGCAGTTGAGGTTGAGGGTTGTGATATACCCCAACGTAGAAACTCTGATATCCTATACTCTCCGAAAGACTTGTTGTTGCTGCCTGCCTGGCGAGATTTTTGGGAGATTTCAGGATTTTGGGGGGTTTTGGGTATGGTTCAAAAGATGCTGTGTATGTCGCTCGATCCCTGCCAGCCGCCTTGCTGCTAATCCCGCTCTCACTTGCGGCCTCCTTTACATCTGGACTCAGGAGCCGTCATAACCGCTGTCATGGAAGAAAGCTATAACTAGCGCATGGATTACCCAAAACACCGGTTCTAATGCCCCAAATGCATACCCCACGCCCTAAACAGACCTCAGCAACCCTAAGCCCCAACCCCTAAACCCTGTCTTGGCTGTCCCATGCAGCGAAGCTTCAGAACCCCAAGCCCGACACATCCTAAACCCCCCCCCCCCGGCCCTCCCCAAGAAACGTGCTCTTACCGGGCCCGAACACATGAGCCCTAGCTGCCATAGGCCGGAAAAAAAACCAACATCATCATGTTCTCCATGCATTTTCCAGGGGGGCGGCAGGGCAACTTATGAGGTCGGAAAGCCGAAGGAGGAGCTTGCGACCGAAAACTCTCAAAAGGGCTGAAGGGAACCTTGGCATGTTAATTGGGGATTAGGGGTTTAGGCCGCCAGGGTCCTGAAACCTAAACTCCCAAAACCCTAACATTCTCAACCCTAAACCCTAAACCCTTTTGAAACCGGACTTGATGACTGCCAGCGCTGCCTCCTGCGCTGTTCTTCAGCCGAGGCCCGGAGATGTCTGCACACAATCACTCCACTCCCTGGGATAGGCACTCCATGTAACGACCACCGAATGCCGAAGCCAAACAGCCCTGATGACATTTGGCAGCGCCAGCACCGCAGTGTCTTGAAGGTCTGGATCCACCAGCATATCAACGTTGAAAACTTGCTTTAGCATGAGACAGTGGCTGCAAACTTGAACAAAATCATCGACTTGGAAACATCCCACCCCAAGCTCTTTGTCCAGCATGACTGCCCTGAGACCGCCCTGGCACGGAACAATAAAGACAGGTAGATACCACTCTGAAACTCAGCAGCCTGCAGAGGATGCTGCCAGCTTTCCCAAATCTGAGGCAGATAATAGCCAGCGTCATCGGTGTTCTGCAGTGCAAGTCTGGCAGCTCTACCATTCCACGAAATCCTGCGCTAACGCAGCGATGTCTCCCGATTGAACGGGCCCCTGGGGCAGCAAACCCATAGCCTGACAAGCTTGCGAAGCCCCTAAACCCTAAACCCCAAACCAACTGAGCATGTGATTCCAGGACCCTCCCACTGCCAGGGCTTGCCCAAGAAGCCGCATAGAGCGAAGCAAGCTCCGGGGACTCAGTGCGCCTATGAAAACAAACCCTAAACCCTAAACCCTAAACCCTAAACTCTAAACTCCAACCCCTTTTTTTTGAACCCAGGCTCAATCCTGTCCAGCGGGGAAGTCAGTCACGCCCGTGCTCTGCGCCTAAACCCTAAACCCGAAACCCTAAACCCCCAAAACCCTAGCCCTACAGCCCCCTGGGCTCCTTGATGCGGAGCATCAAGGCGCTGTGCGGTTTCGCAAGCTCCGCCTCAAAGCAAACCCTCTCTACGGGGCTGGTTTAGGTTTAGGGTTTGGGGTTTGGGGTTTAGGGTTTGGGGTTTAGGGTGCTCACCCGCGCAAGCTCAAAGCCCTCAACTGCTGAAGCCGGTTTCCTAAACCTCGCGTAAGGCTCAGGGTTCAGAGTTTAAACCTGGACCATGCAGTACGACACAAGGACAAATTAAGCACCCCGACCCCAAAAAAACAACAACAATCCACAAATACAGGGGTTCCAGGTAGGCAGCGTGGTTAAGAAGCAAAAAGGCCTCAGGTTTTCAGGGTACAGAGCACCGGTGACCATCTCGCATGGCCTCTCAACCCTACAGCTAGGGCTTTAGGGTTTAGGGTTTAGGGTTTAGGGTTCAGGGTTTAGTCGCTCACTCTCGCACAAGTCAGGCAAGGTCCGTTAGTCTGTGTAGGACAGAAAGGGTTTAGGGTTTAGGGTTTTGGGTTTTGGGTTTAGGATCTCAACCCCAGTGTGCACTTCATGGGTAGCGACATTAAGGGTAGTAGGGTTGCAAATGCCTCAAAATCGGGCGGCTCTAGCTGCCATACCGTGCAGCCAAAGATACACCTATCCACGACACTTCGCCCAAGAATCACAAACCCAAAGCCCCACATGTGGTCCAGTGTTTTTAGGGCCTTTTGTAGGCGAGACTCTCCACATGTTTGTGGTTTGGGATTTGTCTTTCAGTTCTCGCGGCCGGGCTCAAAAGATGTCGGTCTTACAGTTGAGCCCCTCAGGGGCTCAAACAATGATGGTGTTTAGGCTGGGCCTTTTGAAGGGGTCGCAAGACTTTAGTGCAACGAAAACAGACGAAAACAACCACCGCGTTGGGCGGATATTTCTCCATGGCATGACAGGACGCTTGACTTGTGAATACTTGAACTTGAGATCCCTAAACCCTAAACCCTAAACCCCAAACCCTAAACTCTAAACCCTAAACCCTAAACCCTACATCACTGCATGAGCTCTCCCAGCATGGCGCGGGCCTGGAGGTCCGCGAGTCGCGCCGCTGTGGCGCCCTCCGGGAGGTCGAAGAATTCATCCTCGGGTCCGGCTTAGGGTTTAGGGTTTAGGGTTTAGGGTTTAGGGTTTAGGGTTTAGGGTTTAGGGCTTAGGGCTGTCTTACATGAGGAACCCCTTGTTGAGACCTTGTGTAGGTAGGAGTTTTGGCCTTCTTGCGGATTGCGCGCAGGGTTCTTGAGGGTTGTTCAACTGCGGGACCTAGTTTTCTGCTTTTTAAAGGCTTGGTGTCGGGTTTAAAGTTTCGGGCTTCTGCCAGCAATCTCTGCAGCAGCTAAGCCACTAGCGAGTGGAGTTCAGGGTTGAGGGCCTTCTGCCCAGAAAAGTTGCTTCGGCTTTTGGCTCCAGGGCTCCATGGCCTTTCGGCTTTACGGCTTTGCCAGGCTTGTTTTTTGCTGCCGGGTTGGAGGTGCGCCCTTCAACGTCATGATGGAGTTAGAGGTTCAAGGTTCCCACGGGTTCGGACCTGTGCCAGAACTCATGACACACCCGAGATCTCAATCTGCACACGCTCACCCGTAAGACAAGTCAGATAGGCAACTGAAATCTGGGACCCATGCCACATCCCACACAAACATGCTTCTCACACGAAGCTGCCTGCATCCAAGCCTGTCTGTCACGCGCGAACGTTTGCATGCGCTGAGGGCCAGGAAAGGTCTTGTGGCCTAGGGTTTTCCCGTTTTGCTTTGCTGGAGTGTGTATCTGCCGACTTGGCCAAATTCTCGTCGCTGCATCTCACGTGCCCCAGGTATCCTCACTTCCGCCGCAACCAAATCAACAACCCGAAATATCGCGGGGAAACGACGGAAGAGACTGCAAATCCAAAAGACCTGAGCCCTAACCCTAGGCCCTTGACCTCATCCGTCTCTCCCCCCGCCCCCAAAGTCTTGCGAGGGACATCTTCCACCCCTTCTGGCGGCGCGTTGATGTCAAAAGACACCTGGAGTGAACATAAGAACCTGAAGTGCTATTGGGGGGGGGGGGGGGGAATTGAAGGCTCAGGGTTGAGGGCTGCTGGCTTCAGGGCTTTCCGTTCCTTTGCCAAATACCCACCAAGAACCCATGCTGGGAGGAGGGCTTGGGGGTTTCGGGGCAGGGAACAGGACCTCAGTACGATTGGAGGGGCGCTTTCTGTTTAGCAAGGCATCGAGAAGCCCTGTACCGTGGAAGGTTCAGGCCACCCACCCCTCAGCTCAGGAAACCACATGAGCCCTTGCACCCTGACCACCTCATCCTTCTGGGCGTCTGCTGATTGGGGGGGGGAGGCATATGCAGGAGAGTCGAATGATCTGGGCTCTCACAATCTGAAGAGCCTCATGTCTCAGCCCATGGCCATAGCACACGAGTGAACTTCAGCTGCAAACCACACATCTAGACACGCAAGGGCCCCCGGCAAACAAACACAAAGCACTCGCCATATCTTGGCCTTAGGGAGGCTGATCTATATTTCGGAACCATTCTCATACTCCATCAGGAAATACCCCAAACCCCGAAAAGAAGCCCTCACTTTCCTCCGAAGTCGAGATCTACCCTCACATTGCAAAACACGACGCTGGCTTTGGCGCAGGAGGCTTTTGGGATGACGCTAAACCCAAAACCCTATCTTCAACCACAGACTAAACCCTAAACCCAAAGCCCCATGTTTCGGGTTCTGGGCAAGGCCATGGTGCGAGAATGCTGTCGGCAGGTGCCAAGCGATCCTTGTGGAGGGGGGATTCGGATTCAGGATTTAGCCAGGGTTTAGGGGTCGAGTTGAGTTTTCTTTTGCTACCCGGGTTAAGGCGGTAAAGCTAGAAATTTGAGGGTTTTAAGGGTTTAATCAGGGTGTCGCGGTCTACACGCAGTCGTGGGGATCGGATTTACAGGTTTAAGGGAATCAGGGTGTGGGGGGGGGGGGGTGTGCAGCTTAAATAGGGTCTATTTGGAAGCTGGCACTCGTATTTACAAGAGGAAAACAGACCCCAAAACGTATACTTATTTACAAGAGCCCCTTCCAAATAAACCCTATTTGCGTTTCTGGGGGGTTGGGGGGTCAGGAATTAAAAAACTTAAATAATGGACCCCCCATTTAAACAATTTTGGGGGGTCCATTATTTAAATTATTCACAATATTTAATTCGGGCCGGGGGATTAAATAATTTAAATAATTTGAATTAAATAAATAATTTACATAATTGAAATAATTTTGAAATAATTTTGAAATAATTTTGAAATAATTTAAATAATTTATACAATTTACATAATTTAAATAATTTAATGGCCCGGGGGGGGGGGGGGGGGGGGCGGGCCTCCTCCCTCCCGGGAATTAATAATTTAAATAATCTAAATATTGGACCCCAAAATTATTTAAATGGGGGGTCCATTATTTAAATTATTTTATTCGGGCCGGGGAATTAAATAATTTAAATAATGGAGCCCCCATTTAAATAATTTTGGGGTCCAATATTCAGATTACTTAAACTATTTAATTCCCGGGAGGCAGGGGACCCGGCCCCCCTGGGCCATTTAAATTATTTAATTTTTTTAAGATATTTAAAGTATTTTAAATATTTAAATTATTTAAATTATTGAAATTATTGAAGTCCCGGGAGGGAGGAGGCCGGCCCCCCCCCCCCCCCCCCGGGCCATTAAATTAGAAAAGAAAGAGGGAAGGGAGAAACAAGGGAGAGAGGATAGACAAAGACGAGTGCCATCTTCTCTGCGCCTTGTTTTGTCTCTCCCTCTTCTCCAGTCATCTCTCTTCTATTCTTTTCTTTGCCCCTCCCATTAAAAATGCAATCCATTGTGTCTCTCCTCTCTCCTTCTCCCTCCCTCCAACGGGTGTCCTTTTGGATCGTTTTCTGCATCTTCAAGTGAGAAAAAAGGACACCCAAAAGAAAGCACTGAGGGTGCCCCTTTTGCTCGATTGAAGACACAGAAAGCGATTAAAAGGGATGCCCATTTTGGATTGGCAGCAAACCCAGCTGATGCTCATGATTCTCTCTCTCCCTACATATGGGCGATGGGACGGGTGTCCTTTTAAATCGTTTTCTGCATCTTCAAGGGAAAAGGGACACCCCACAAGAAGGAAAAGTAACATAAGAGATAGGGCGGGAAATTGAAGAACGCCTCATTTTACTTGGTCATTTGTTTTTTCATTTCGAAAAGAAAGAGGGAAGGGAGAAACAAGGGAGAGAGGATAGACAAAGATCTCTAAGCCTTGTTTTGTCTCTCCCTCTTCGCCAGTCATCTCTCTTATATCCTTTTCTTTGCTCTTCCCATTAAAAAGCAATCCATTGTATCTCTCCTCTCTCTCTCTCTCTCCTGCACGCAGAGCCCCCCCGGAGGGAAGGCTGCCCCAAGGGGCGCGCGAAGTCCGCGGTCTGTTTGAACGGAGATCCCCGGTTTTCGAGGACTCCTAGACTAAGGCAACAGGAATGTGGTTTCCCTTCTCCTTCTCTCTTCCTCCAACGCGTGTCCTTTTGGATCGTTTTCTGCATCTTCAAGTGAGAAAAAAGGACACCCAAAAGAAAGCACTGAGGGTGCCCCTTTTGCTCGATTGAAGACACAGAAAGCGATTAAAAGGGACGCCCATTTTGGATTGGCAGCAAACCCAGCTGATGCTCATGATTCTTGGGCGATGGGACGGGTGTCCTTTTCAATCGTTTTCTGCATCTTCAAGGGAGGAAAAGGAACACCCCACAAGAAGGAAAAGTAACATAAGAGATAGGGCGGGAAATTGAAGAACGCCTCATTTTACTTAGTCATTCCCTTTCCTCTCTTCTTATCTGCTATTTTTCTTATTCGCTTCAAAAAGCAACATAAGGGAAAGGGGAATTCCTGAAGAGGAGAGAGGGAACCTATCTGGGAAGAGCAAGAATGTTTTTTTTTTTTTTTCAAATTTATGCCCTTTCCTTTGTATCTACCACACAAAAACACGACTCTCAGCTTCCAAATAAACCCTATTTAAGCCTTGCACGGGGGGGGGGGGTGGGGTGATTAGGGTGCAGGGAGTGTGCACGCATGCATATATATATATGTATATATATATATGTATACGGTATGAACCCCCAACCCGAAACAAAATACCATGTACAGAGAGGGTTTATAGGATCAGTAAAAGGATTTTCCTGAGACAAGCTGGGCTGCATCTTCTTCGTGCGAGCCATTCTTGGAGTCACGCGACCTTGCAGCTTTTTCCGGCTCCAAGGGCTTAGGGTTTGGCGTTAGGGTTTAGGGCACATCTTGCTTGCCCTATAACGCGCTCTTGAACCCAGACTCTTGATGCTAAACCCTACATCCCAACCCGTTCTACAACCCAGCTCTGCATCCCAACCTGAAACCTAAACCCTGAACTTCAACCCGATCCAAACTTCTACCGTCTTGCTTAGGAGAGCGGGATTGTTTCTGTCCCAGCTTCACCCTCCAGAAAGGCAGGCGAAACCTCCCAAGCGTCCCGGAACCTTTGCTTAAGACTCTTGGGCACACTGATGGAACCCACATCAGCGCCCGACAGCCGTTTCCCTAACCCTTAACCCTACAAACCCTAAAAACCCTGTACACCCCCAACACTCAACCCCCCAAACCCCCAAACCCCCCAAGCCCCAACCCCCCCCCCCCCCCCCCCCCAAAAAAGAAAAAACAAAACAAAACAAAAGCCCCCCCCCCCCCCCCCCCCCCCCCCCCCAAAAAAAAAAGCCACAAAAGCAGAAGCTCCGGACAGCCTGGAGGAGTTCTGGGAGCTCTTGGAGCCCTTGGAGCCCTTGGATCCCTTGGAGGGCCGGTCCTGCGCCCCGGGTGGGGTGTTTAGGGTTTAGGGTTTAGGGTTTAGGGTTTAGGGTGCAGGGTTTTTGAGGGTTTTGTTGGGGTTCTCTGGGGTGCAGGGGTCTCTTCTGTTTGGGTATTCCGATAGTAGCTAACTTGGGGGGTCCAGAGTCTAGAGCCCACCGTACGAAGAAATGGCTACTTCGGGGGTTGTCTTTGGAAGCCGTTTGCGGAAGACACCAACGTTCTGCCGCTGCCTTGAGTGAAAGGGTGGGGCGCTTGCGTGGTCAAGTGGTGCATGCGTCATGTGAAGAATGCCGGTGTGCATGTGTATATATATATATATACTATACACTGTCTGCACGTATGTATCAGTATCTGTATCTTCACATCATTTAACATCACGTGCGTAAGAGAAAGGCGCGGGCAAGAGAAGACAATAGCATCAGTATAGGGGCTTGCCGCTATGGTCCTGTGGCAAGGGTCAGAAAGCCATGTTGGTAGGGACTTGTGTTCACTGGCTTCCCTGGGAACCCAACATCCGCAGCCTGAAATGTGGGGCACCCCGCTGTGTTCCCTGCATCTTGGCATCCCGAAGGCCCGAAGGAGCCAT